TCTGATTCAATAAAAACTTTATTTTGGTAGCCTTTGATAGACATTTCTTTAATATTCCAGTTGTCCCAGCAATCCTCAACTGTTGTGTGATGGATCAAAACACTGAACTTCTTGAAAAGTTTAGTATTAAACCCCGAAAATATTGCTGGCTGGCCTTTAGCTTCATGGGGAGAGACAGAGCACAAACATTTTATCCACTTACAATGTGCACCTTAATTGCTGAATCATTTAGAAATTAGCTTTTTTTTTTTTTTTTTTAACTATTACTGTATTATTCAAAATTATCACAACCATTATCTTTTGTCAAACTAAAGTAAGCTATTATGTTGAGATAACAAACTACGTTTACAGTCTTTCTATTATTTATTTATCTTTATTATTTGTTTGTTTTTACTATTGCTTAAGTTATCAATAACTAATAAGTACATTTTGATTGTGCGTAATTTTAATGCCGTTCCACAGCGTGGACTCGCCCTTCTCCCCTCCTTCCTGCGCACTTGGTTTGTCCCACATCCCTTCCATTCTCGCGCATGCTCAGTCTATCTTTACGGGGGTGACCGGAGTTCCTCTTCCGCTGTCAGGCTGCTGTCACACGGCGACAATGTTATCCCATTCCCGGTGTCTCACCAGGAATTTTGGCCGTTCCCTGTCTGCCATCCGCCAGGTAGGCAACAGACGAGTGACACACACAGTTTCCGTGAGTGACGGGTCGACTCGCTGCTTCTGGCTGCGGAAGAAGCCGCAGTTTCTGTGTGGTCGGCTATCCGCGCTAACATTAGCATTAGCCTGATCGCTACTATAGGCCACGGACAGGCCGTAACATTGTGAGCCAAGGACAGTATGACACTTCTCTGCTCAAGCATTTCTGCAGTCTGGATGTGAGATTTTGCACTAATGTGGGTGTTGCAGTGACCAGAAAGAAGCTGTCCAGTGTTAATGTAAAATCATTGTGCATGTATTTAGCCAGGAAGAACATGTTAGCCATATTAGCTTAAAGCACGGTCAGATTTGTTAGCTGCTCGGACTAGTTGTCATCATATTGAGGTCATATAATGTTATATAAATAACAAGTTTGTACAAACTAAGATTTCACGATTAGCTGAGTGTTTGATGTTTTGTTGCTTACTTGTCAGTTTTAATTTGAGCTCAGCTCCGTTGTCGTTTCTTTACCAAAAATGCAGATGTCATGTTTTGGTAAAGCACAAAATATGTTCTTATCCTTTTATTAGAAAAGTTCCCATTTTAATTTCTCTAACCACCATTTTGTCCAATTCATTTATCGATCACCTCAAAGGTCGTCTAGTAAAAGTGACTTTTGACCGGCTGCACTTGACTTCTCAGCACCACAACCTTCTATATGCAAGCCACAGTTTTTAACTGGGGATTTAATTTTAATTTACAAAAATGATTAAGTGTGCATTTATGCACATAATTGCAATTATTTCTGGTTGAAAAGTCTTTACAACAGATGTATGAGTTGATGTCTTGACTATACTGCATCTTTTCACAGGGGAATAATGTGTTGGCTCGTCGTTCCACGGCAGGTATGTTTGCTTACTGTTCAAGCACAGGCTATTATCTCAAAAAGTTGTTTACATGCTTCTTCTTTCCTCCTCTTTATCAGTTCTGTCAGCTAGCCATCCTATCACTTTACACAACAATGTGTGAGTACATCCATTCACTTAAAGATTACAAAAAAGTAGCTGTTTTTGACATCACAAGTACGTCATGATGGAGTTAGATAGCATCATAAACCTATTTTTGTTTTAATAGTAAATGTTCACGCAAAGTTGATTTATATACAAGCCAAGTCTTAAAGATTTATTTTTTTAAACTCTGTTTTTATACCCTTCTTTCTTATAGAAAATACAATCCCCGATCCAATGTCTTCCAAATACAATACTTCAGGACATCTGTAGCCTACAGTATGTAGTCTGTCATTCATGTTTACACCCGTCTGATTATGAAGAGCATTTACGGATGTGTGAAAATATACAATTCTTTTCATTTTTGTTCTTCAGGAGATGAAGTTATCACAGTCAATACTCCTGCATTTGCAGAGTCTGTCACAGAGGGGGATGTGAGGTGGGAGAAAGGTAATGTTTCCAGTTACAAAGGGTTCTGCAGGTGCCTGTTATCATATGCAGCCAGTTACTAAAACATTTTATTTTCTTTACAGCTGTGGGAGACGCTGTTTCTGAGGATGAGGTGGTGTGTGAAATTGAAACGGACAAGGTACAACTAATGTTAAACTAATCCTGTTTGCTTGTCTTTGTTTCGTTTTCCTTTAAAGACATTAACCCAAGAATATGTATTAGGGGAAAAACTGCTTGAGGCATGTTTGATTTTTTTTTCAACAAAGTTGTATAATATTTCACTTTATTTAATACTTATAAGAAAAATACATTACTATCTTTGCTTGCTTGTGCTGTTTTTAATCATTCAATCCTGAAGACGATAATGTTTTTACCTGTGCATTTGTCTGTTGCAATGGCAAAATATTTCATGAATCGGGACATTTTTTTATGAATTTCTCCCCAAAAAAATAAATTGGATGTACATCTACAGCTCATTAACATTTGGAGTCAGTTCAGAACAAAATAGATGCTGCAGCTAATCAACCATGGCCAACTGAGAACAGCTATAACTTAGTTGATTTAGCTGATTTCTAGATAAATTAAATGTATTAGTAGCTGAGAGTCGTCCAGAACACCTTCTCTGTGTTCTTGTGCGGTCTCACAATATCGCATGAGATTTCACATAATCTCATTTACAAGTTTTTGACCACAACTTTTATACCTCAGTTCCTTCTTTTTGCATGAGATGATTTTAATTTAAAACCCACGGACTGAAAGGCAGCGTGCGGCATGTAAATATAAACTTTATATATATATATATTCTCTGCTTTTAGACATCAGTACAGGTTCCCTCTCCTGCTGCTGGAGTCATTGAGGAACTTTTGGTTCCAGATGGGGGGAAGGTTGAAGGAGGGACACCACTTTTCAAGCTTAAAAAAGGAGGTTTGTTTTTGAGGCTTTTTAAAAAAATTTTTTTAACTAAAATCACAAAATTAAAGATAAAGTTTTAAACCCTTATTGTCTTAACTGTTCTTGTTTATATCTTTAGCCAGTGCTCCCAAAGCTGCAGAAGCTCCAAAAGCTGAGGCCCCAGCTGCTGCAGCCCCTCCACCACCTTCTGATGCTCCAACTCCTCCCCCCGCTTCAGCTGTAGGCCCCATTCCCACCACCATGCCCCCTGTGCCACCTGTGCCAGCACATGCTATGGACACCAAACCAGGTTAGTTGTGATCCGACAGACGGCCTGCGTCATGTGAGAACCGATTTGTTTCACATCTGTGTTTTTGACCCCTAACTTCTACAATTAATCATAGATTGGGATTCTGTACACGGTGCTTTTTAGCCGTCCCACTGAATGTCAATGGCTTGAGGTACTAAGTGTTTTTTTTTTTCCTCCATCCTTTTCAAAGTTTCTGCCATCAAGCCCACTGCTGCACCAACTATGCCAGCTGCCCACGCAGAAGGAGGTGTTAAAACTGCGAGGACGGAGAGCAGGGTAAACTGTAAAACTTCTCCCATAGTGTTTAGTATTATGGGATGATTTAATTATGCTGTTTTAAGGAAGAATTATGCATTTAGATAAATATTTACTGACGCTAACATGTTTTTTTTTTAGGTTAAGATGAACCGCATGAGACTAAGAATTGCCCAGAGACTGAAAGAAGCCCAAAACACCTGCGCTATGCTCACTACGTTTAATGAGGTCGATATGAGGTAGGAAATTTCCAATAAGTTGACCTATATTAATAAACCCTCAGTTTTATTTTAGATTGTAGGTCTGTGTGTTCGTCTATATTACAGCATAATTAGAGCATATTAAAGAGAAAAGTCACAATTTCCCATTTATTTTTTCTGTGTATACAGGCTTTCAGTGTAAGTATACATAGACTTCCCACCGATAAAAGGCAAAGCAACACTTCCACAAATGGTTATAGATTGGAATCTGCCCAATAGGAAAAGCTTTTTGAAACTTGATATCCTCTTAAACACTGGAATGTAAATATTTGGTCATAATTTCATCATAAACGAAGATAAAAATTGTTAAAACAGGTTTTTATTAATTTACAAGGAAATGTTATTGTCTGCACTTGCCCCCTGTGCTGAAGAGGACACTTTGAGGATTTATTTTCCCCGCAAATGTGTGGTGTCAGCTTTCGGCCGTTCAGGGTTTTCTGTGCATCCTAATTGGATTGACATTGATGGTCTGGAGGAAGACTTCCCAGTCTAGGGCTCATCTGGAGCCGAAGGAACTCGTCAGAACAGGAGGCTGGAGCATCTGCAGAGGCCCACAGAGACCTGCGCTCTGAGTGGAAGAGCTGCCTCAACCGATATGGGCTTTTATGACAGCCCAATAAGATTTACAGGCCCTAGAAAGTGAAGATTTTTATCGCTTCTTCTCTCCTTTCTCGGAGAGTCTGTGTCTTGGGAGGGGCTAATTACGTTAGCGGCGAAACCCTAGAGCTTCAACAGGGTTAGAGACAGGAAAACAAACAATTAAAACAAGAGATACAAGTGAAAAATGAGCAATACTGAAACAATTAGCAGCCCAATTTTAATAGCTTTACTATTAGATATATTGTAACTTCCAGTATTTTTGCTGCTTTTTATAACATTTCTGTACATTTTAGCTTCATTGCCTGGATTCATTGCTAATTTGTTTTCTAAGAAACATTAATTAACACAACTATTAAACTTTCAAATTCCCAAACCTCATAGGCTTTTAAGTAAAATATATATTCACTTGTGTTAATCTCACCCTGCTTGATGATCTAAACATTTTATTTTCGTCATGCAGCAACATCTCAGAGATGAGGAAGGCTTACAAAGATGACTTTCTGAAAAGGCACAACACCAAGCTGGGCTTCATGTCTGCATTTGTCAAGGCTGCTGCTCATGCACTCACCGACCAACCTGCTGTCAATGCCGGTAAAAAAAACAGCTTTACCTTTAAAGGCTGGATGTGGTTTGTGTTTTACTGTCTTTGCACGATGGCTGTCGAGCCATCCCGTGTGTGTGGTGAAGAACAAGTTTAAGCTTCAGAATTTTTTTGTGCCCATCCTCAAAACCATCTCTGACTTATTTACTTCCTTTAGAATACTTTGACCTATTTAGGTAGACCACAGTGGAGCAGTGGTGGTCCGTGTTGACGACTTTTAAAAATCTATAATAGTCTGTGGGTTTACTTACCACCACTTTACCTGCATGAGTGGTTCACAAGACAAGAACTTGATCTTGATATAATATTCTGATGGTTAAAAATTAATAATTTCCACAATATAATCACCTTCTCTGTGCTTCCAGTGATTGACGACACAACCAAAGAAATAGTGTACAGGGACTATGTTGACATCAGTGTGGCTGTAGCTACACCGAAGGTAAAACAAGTGGATTTTATTGTACAGTAATCTTTTTTTTTTTTTAAATGTAAGCTAAGAAATTGTCGTGTTATTTGCTTTTCTCAGGGTTTGGTGGTTCCTGTAATCCGAAATGTAGAGGGAATGAACTTTGCTGACATTGAGAAGGCCATCAATTTGTTGGGAGAAAAGGTGACTTTTCATTGCACACGTTTCAATGTAGACCTTTCAGATTTATTGTTTTTTGATAGTTTTTTTTTCAATATTTGGTGTTATATGTCTTCACTGTAGGCCCGTAAGAATGAGCTGGCTGTTGAAGACATGGATGGAGGCACCTTCACCATCAGTAATGGTGGTGTGTTCGGGTCCTTGTTTGGCACACCTATAATTAACCCACCACAGTCCGCTATTTTAGGCATGCATGGCATCTTTGACCGACCTGTTGCTGTCGGTGGCAAGGTTTGTATCTTCTTACAATTAGTGAAGTGTACTTGGTTTGATTTCTATTTTACCTAATACAGCGAACAGTGGTAATATTAACAGCTATGGGTGTTTTCATTTTTTATTCACCCGTATTTTCCGCCGTGCACGTCGCACCGCCCTAAAATGCGCATCAGTCCAAATATGTCTAATAAAGTGGAAAGATCCATAAATATGTCGCTTCGCCGTATACGTCGCATCTATTATGCGTCACTGCTGATGCGTCGCGTTTGCTACACATCACCGCTGACAACTCGGAAATGTGGGCCGGTGTTGTGCCAAAAATCTGCGAAATGGCTGCCGCGGGAGCGTGCACAGGAGTACTTTAATGAGAATTTAACAAGATAAACACCTAAACAATTATTTTTTTGCTCGAAATTCTAGCAGAGGTGTGTCTCAGTCTAATGTTTGCTTAATAAATGCACTTTAATGGTCAAATTAGCCGCTTTTCGCCAGGGTGGTGCAGCTGGTTTGCGAGCAGAACAAAGGTGGGGCCGATTGAGTCATTAATAGCTGGTGAAGATTCTCAGTCATCCAAGACATGGTAAATTCAAAAAAGTTCAAGAAAAGTACAATAAAGTATAATAAAGTCCAGTTGTTTTGTCTTGGATATTTTTGAATTTGTCATTTTAGCCACGTTTACCTATTACATGATACGACATGCCTTGCTGCTACTCTGCTGCCATCTAGTGGCTGAAAGTGGTACTGCTAGATTATTATTATTTTATTCGGTCAGAATGAATGAAAACGGTCATATCTTAGCCAAAAATTTGTTTATAAATATGCGAAAAAAATCCTTAAATGCGTCACTTCAGCCTATAAGTCCCAGGGCATGTAAATTATGTAAAAAAGTTTGACTTATAAGCTGAAAAATATGGTATTAGTAATCCATCTCAAGTGATGTAAAACGAAGTTAAATGATAAAACTTTTATCAGCTTTGTTTTATCTACCGTATTTTTTGGATTATAAGACACAATAAGCTAAACAAAAACATTTCGACAGATTTTTTAGCAGCGTGTACCATATAAAATTGGTCTGAGGTCAGTAAGCACAACCAGAACTAATACATAAGGCGCACTGGATTATAAGGCTCACTGTTGATTTTTGAGGAAATTATGTCTTATAGTCCAAAAAATACAGTAACCAACAGTCCAAAACTCTTTTTCTCAATACAGTTGTTTAAATGTGTAATGTTGGAAATGGCTGAACATTTAAATGAAACAATATTATTTAATCAAAATGGTGGCAATATTACGTTTTAATTAATACATTTTTGTATTCCAGTTCTGTTTATGTTGGATTAGCTCTTGATGATTTCTTCTTTTGTCCAGGTGGAGATCCGTCCCATGATGTATGTTGCTCTGACATATGATCATCGTCTGATCGATGGAAGAGAGGCCGTCACTTTCCTGCGCAAGATCAAGTCAGTGGTGGAGGACCCCAGGGTGCTGCTCCTTGACATGTGAACCATTCATCATCAACTCCCGAGCCCAACCAAACCACTTCCCACACCAAAAGAGGCTGTACACACTTGATGAACATTACTATACCTACAGTTAATGTATTCTTGTATTGGTTAAGTAGGAAAAAAGCGATTTTGTGGTTAAAAGTTGGGTTGTGCAATGGACATTTGTCAGACTGGCAGGGATAAAAGGTTTGGTGCTGTTCTGGAGGAAAATTAGGCTCTGGGGTTCCTGGTGCTGGTCTCTAGATCAAAAAAAGAAATCTTAACTTCTTTGCCATATGTCATTTTCTACATAATATATGAAAAAAAATCACTTCTTGTGAGATGACAGGCAAGTACAGTTTAAACTTCACAGTTTTATTATTTTGGTTGAGAGAAGAACAACGCAAACACGTCTGGCTAAACAAACAAACACTATGTTTTAACGTTTCCAAAATGAAGTTCTCAGAGATTTTACGCCATCTAGTCCATGGAATTTGAGGAAAAACTTACTTTTTGCTGTGCGAGATCGAATATTTAAGGGAAAAAAGGCAAGTTTTAAACAATAAAATCTTCATTACCCACACTTATTATTTGTTCGGATGTTTTTAAAGCTCTTATTAGTTTGTGTATGTAGAAAAAAAAAAGTGTTAAGTTTAAAAGATGGCTGAAATGAATTCACAAGTAATGCTTTATCATTATAAAACCAATGCAAACTTAAGGCGGCCTAGAGGTTTTCTTTTATTTTGATTTGTATCTATGACGATGACGCAAAGGTTTAGCCAATATTTACCATGACACTTGTTCATCAGTAAAGCCAAAGTTAAATAAAATGATTTTGGTGGTCCTTTAAACTGCATCAATTTCTTTAATTTTGCTTCAGTTTTTTTGCGTGGAGTTTTGTACAGAATCTTCAGAGAAATGAAAAGTTGTCTTCCGTCTCTTCATCTAGTTGACTCCATAATGCAACTTGACAGTTATATTTTTAGAATCGAGCTCAATCATGGATCAGACACTTAATGGTGATGAATAATGATTTCAACTTTGAAAAAATGTCATTGATATAGGTCGAGGACTGTTAAACACCAAACAATAGTGTTTGGATTAAACTGCTTTTTGGTTAAAACTGGAAATATGTTGCCAACTTCACAAATTATTATTATTATTTAACTCATCTGAAATGTTCTTGTAGTAAAACTGGAAATAACCCAAAATGGTTGGGGAAAAAAAAGTTTTTTTTAATTTCAGGATGTTCTCGTTCATGAAAACAATAGTTTACTACCCATCATTTTCTGTACAGAATGTTTAAAAGTTTTGCTTTCAGTGGGATTTCTAGACATGCGTGTTGATACAAATGTAAAACCTAACTATCAAAATTGCATTAAAGAAACCAGTTCCTAAGTAAATTTTACAAGTTTAAAATAATCTGGTGTTCTGGGTGGGACATGCGTCACAACTTTATTCAGGTGGTGTTGAAACCTTTTCTTTGGGAAGCACAAAAAGCAGCTGGAATCAGTGCTGCGTCTAGATTTATCATGTGCTCCAACCACTCCTGCTAACAGGACAGAGCTTTCCAGGAGACGCTGCTGAAGAAGGGGTGACACTTGATGTCGCTCACTCCTCCACCTCCAGAACCCAATCGATACCCAGCATCGAACTGGAGCAGCTGTGGAGTAGATGGATTCAGAATTCAAGCATTATTATGTCTCTTTAACTGAGCGTGGTTTACTCGTCTGAAACGCTCCATCCTTTTCTGACCTCTGTGAGCAAAGAAGCAGCCGCAGCACTCAGGTGGTCCGGGATTATCAGCTGGGTGTGGGAGTGGATCCCTGCTGGATGGAGCTGCCACAGCGGCTTGAAGAACAAACAATTATATATTTTTTTTATTGATCATGGTTTGTGTTATTCATACTTATGAATATTGTCCATATTTCATCCTACCATTCCTGTTAAAAGTTCAAAGAGCAAAGCTCCAAGACTCCACCAATCACAAGCTTCTGTGATCCTGGAAACTCCTCCAATTTCTGTCAACACACAATGAGCTGAGTTTAGCTCTGTTTATGTTCAATTTATCTCAATAAGTTGTCCTTAATATTAAAACCTCTATACTGTATGTAATCTCACTACTGTTGTACAGTAGTGAGATGTACTTGCAGTGACTAAGTGTCGCCACTAGGTGGCAGATGATGCTCAAGCGTGCAGTTCACCTGGAGCACAGTACATCTGTTCCATGGCTTTGGAGCTGATCTCTGACTGAACCTCACTCCACTGGCTGAAAAATGTCAAACACACCTTTCCTGTGAAAACACATTTTTTTTCCAAGTTAAACTTTCTGATATTTTAAGGTTTTTTGTATTTTTTTTTTTTTTTTTTTTAATAAATTGCTATTCTGACCATTGCTGGTGAGCAGAATGTTTCTGGGGTTGAGATCCCGACACAGAACGCCCTGTTGATGCAGACTCTCCAGGGCCAGCAGAATCTGTGCCCCCCATATACGCACCTCTGCTTCTGCAAGTCCCCACCAGGTCTGCACAGCCTTATTTGCAGGCTTTGAGGTCTGGGCAGGGAACCGAGGCAGATGACACCAGCCATCGACCTCAATGATCTGGTCTTCCTCCTGCCTCTCTGGTCCATGTAGTAAACTATCTTTATCCTTTTTACTCATTTGAGTTGGGACTTCAGACGATCCAGAGGAAAACCAACCCACATATGATTCTGCTTTTAGAGGTGGCTTCTTTTCTTCAGAACTTGTGACCTCACAGGCTATTTCTACCCCTTCGTTTCCACCACTGAAGCCTGTTACAGGTAAAAATGTCTCCTTTCTTGCGGCGCTGTTTGGATAAACAGATCTTTCTGAAATATTTGTATCCATGGGACCAGAAAACACTGCTCTGTCTGTGCTCCGTATAACTATCATTCCATTTCTTTCTTCAGCAGTTGGACTGCTGCTGCCGAGCTTTGAGTCTGTATTTACTTCTGCAGAGTTACCATTCAGAAAAGATCCCTGGAGAGAGCCGTTCACATCCCACGAAGCCCTGCCGTGGATTTGGGTTTGGCAATGGAGAGGAAGATGCAAAATGGCAGGAGAGGAACTTAAAACCTGACTATGACTTTTAGGTGACCCTGAATTATTTAACGAGGTCTGATTTGTCCGAGGTGCAGTCTCTGCAGTTGTTCTTGGTGAATTATTGTCAGTCACTGCATAGGGGTTTATTCTCTCACAGTCTGGGGATGGATCTGAGGCTTTCCAAGCTGCTTCGAAGTCTGAACTGCACTCTATCAGCCCCATTCCTGCCTTCTTTTTATGGAGTTCTGACATGACATCAAGAGTCTGACTGACACGAGTGCAAGGGAGAGGAAGAGCAGGCCTTTCCTGAGTATCGCTGGAGTGCAAACACAAACTGGGAGCTGGTGGATGGATGTGGGTGGTAACTTGTGTCCTAGTAAGGCCAGAGAGCAGCGTTAACTGATCAAGCTTGGTATAAAATGATGCCGCGGAGCGCGTATTCTGCAAGCAGCCCGTCTCCTCGATGTAGGAGTGAGTCCCGCAGCTTTCCAGGCGCTGCTGAGTCTCATCCCATGAGGCTGGGAAGTCTGTATCTGGGCTCTCGTCAGTCAGTGTGTCTGGGATCACCGCTGTGCTCCGGCCGCCGTGCTGGTAGTCCACGCTGATCGTTGGTGAGGTGTGGCTGGTCTTCATCTTGTGGCTATGTTGGCTAGAAGTGAAGCATTCTGGGTGTTCTTTGGCCTTCTCGCTTTTCAGTTTATGCAACTTGGAGAAGAGCCTCCCACCTGAGTAAATACAATGAATATAATAATAACAGCTTTTAAAAGAAAAATCACACAACACGGTGGGAACAGATGTAAACATTTTACCTTTCACATGCTCTAGATGCAGGTACACAGCATCCTCGCTGACATAATATCTCAGCAGCTTAACCATGTAGGGCACCCCTTGAGGAATAATAGTCGGCTGATCCCTGCTCTCCCAGCTTGATTTGACCAGGCTCTGCAAAATAATAATAAAAAGTAACGGATTTAGAAAGAATTTCATGGATATTCTTTTTAAAATAGGAAACATATTTGCATTAATAATATAAAAAGCAATAACAGCACATATTTATGTCAAATACTGTGTGAATCATCCCTTTAGAAATGTCTGTCTATATATATATATATTATTATTATTATAGCTTCAGTTGAAATTTGAGGTGCACGGGCACAGTCTAAAAGGGTGCACACTCTCAGGCAGATCGATGATGTCTGATACTGAAAGAAAGGATGAAGGGTGTTTGGCTCACCACAGAGAACAGGACCTGGTGTTGCCACAAGTTCACAAACTATCTTCATCTTCAGTCGTCTCAGGCTGACTGATGTATATCATGATTTTATACAATATGATTATAAAAGTCTACTTTTTAATTTGTCTTGAGTTCTTACCTTTACAACAAACATCTCTTTGTTGACCATACTTTGGACAATCAGGACCTTTGGAGTAAAAAACAGTCATGCTTCCACAGTAAAGCAGGTAAATTATTACAGGATATTTCACAGTGAAGAAGTTTCATGGTTAGAGCGCAGTGGATCATTGACCGAATGTTTTTTATGAACTACAACAAAGATGCACTGGGCTGCAACATATGAAAAAAAAAAACACCTACCTTATCACTGACTCCCACCACTTTGCACATCTCCAGATCCTCTACAGGTGAACTCAGGTGTCTGATTGGACGGAATCTCAGACTACTGTAGCCCTAAGAGTGAAACACACACAGAGCACTACCAGTCACAAACTTTAGTTAAAAAAAAACAATAATGCCAACGATAAAACCCTGCATTAAATTGGTTTTACCGTATTTTTCGGACTTAAAATCCTTTAACTTTCTCAAAAATCAACAATGAGTTTTATAATCTGGTGCACCTTACGTATGAATTCTGGTTGTGCTTACTGACCTCGAACCGATTTTATGTGGTTCTTGTGAATGAGTTGAATAAAGTTAGATTTATCTGATTCTGTTTCACTTACTGCACCTTATAATCCGGTGTGCCTTATAGTCCGAAAAATATGGTATATTTGAAAACTGATTTAAGTACTAAACAATCCTATCAAATGTATTATTTTTTGGATGTGAACTACTGTACATTATAAACAACATTTTGTTGTGATTAAATAATTGCTACGTTACAACAGAAAAATATTCACGAAATTTAAATATGGGCTTTTACCAACCAATGGATTAAACTGCAAAGGTTGTTTTTTTAATTCTATTTAGTCTTTGACAAATTCTTGTGCAAAACAACATGAGCTCTTTGTGTTCAACGCTGTGTCTAAAGTAACAAGGCTGTCAATTTAATGCATTGGATTCTGATAAAGTTGTAAGTGTTAACTGGATAAAAAGTGTCCATTTGTATCGTATATTTTGGACTATAAGACACTTAAAATCCTTTAATTTTCTCAAAAATCAACAGTGAACCTTATGTATTAATTCTGGTTGTGCTTACTGACAATGAACCGATTTTATGTGGTTATTGTGAATGAGTTGAATAAAGTTTGACTTATTTGACTGTTTTGTTTCGCTTAATGCGCCTTATAATCCAGCGCCTTATGTATGAAAAACACGGTACCTAATGCTGAGAAACACAAGGTCTTACCCCTAAATGAGAGCCTCCCTTTCCAAAGTTATCCTGTAAATGTGTGATGAAGATTTCCTCAGCTCTTTTTAAATACTGGGTTGTCTTCCTCTTCACAGCCTCTCGTCGATCTTTGTTTGGATCCACTGTAAAGCAACCAAACTCATTAGGACACCAGTAAAAGACAAATTTACTATAACTACATGCACCACATGAACCTGCGCTGTCTTACACAGCGGATAGTGAATGAATGTGAAAAATGTCTTGCCAGCAAACAATCTGTGCTCGACTTCCTGTTTCTATTCATGTTCCCATCACGTGTCTGTCTTGTGTAAACTTTGGTATTTGTAACACTCATTCCATGAATCACATTCCCTAAATATCCCATTTTTTTCACTCACACTGGACTCCATTCAGCAGCAAGTCCACGCCGTTCTTATAATAGCTGAAAGCAGCCTCGTAGTCTTCATTGACCTCACTGTCCAGTGCCATGCGGATCTGCTTGGCCGCCTCCACCAGGTAATCTCTCTTTGCCATTTCTGTCTTTTTTAGTCCAACAAGGTCCAGGTGAGCCTATTCACAACACAGAAACGTACAGATACCGTTCATAAACAAGAAACGAAACAGCAGAACAGTTAAGCGTTGGTCTCACCTTTGCTCCTGTGCCTGATCAGCAGCAGGGCACATCTCTGTCAGCTGATACTGAGCGCTGTAGGTGTCTGAGCGCAGCCACTCCAAGACCTTTGCAGCAGAGCATGATGGTCCGAGCCAAAGGAAACAAAGAGTTAACCTTGAGAGCAGAACAGGAAGTGAGTACAGGCTTGCCTACTATTTCTGATGAATGGAAAGAAACAAAGCTGCAAACGTCCAAGATGACAGAGGATTGATTCAGAGAGCGATGCTTATTAGTCTCAAGGTAATTACCTTGTTTATCCTTTCATTCTGATGACCACTCTTCAAATGCCTCTCTGTGTTAAGCTATAGCCACACAGATTCCTACACACACACACAAATCAGGAGAAAATGATTATTTCCAAGAAGAACAAAACATTCTTCACTGGCATGGATTATAATTGTAAAAAAATCACATTAGGCTGTAAATCTTTTTCCTTTTTTATATTATTCCAACATAAAACATTACCTGCTTAGCGTTGAAGGCCATAACTGACTGAAATATCAAAAATCTCTGGTTTCTCTCCCACCAATCAGAGCCATCTTAAGTGTCCTCCATCATTATCCATCCTCTTCACAACATGGGCTTCCAGAGCAAGTGAGCTAATTCAGCATTAAAAATAAAAGTACTAAAATCACAAGAAAAGGAGTAAAATCTGGGATAAAACACTGTGTGTAGAGTGGGTACAGTGTGTCTCTCCATCCAGACAGCAGCATCAGCATCGGCTCAGAACATACTCATCCCACAAGCAGGAGAGGAAGAGGAGAGAGCTCAGCCGAGGCTGCTGATTGGCTGAGCGTGATGTCACGTAAGGGTACCATTTCACACAAGGCACTCACTCCCCCCCACCCCCCTCTTATTTTGGCAGATGCTGGATGATTTAAAGAGACAGTGCTGCTTTAAATGTGCAAAGTGAAGGACACTCTAGCTCTGCTTTTGTTTTGAAAAATGCATTTTCATGTTTACTACTGACTAATGTGATTAAGGATTGCTCACTGTTACACAGTAGTTGCAGAACGGTGTGCATGAAAGGATCAGCTGGCCACTCGGTGCTCAGTACCAGATGGAGCCAAGCTCCAACTACAGCACAAAAGAGAGTCTCCCCCACCACCACCACTACGCTCACACCCAAGGGAGGGCAGGTTTACAGAAGGGGGGGTGTACACACTTTAGCAGGACGCTGAAATCTGATCTTGCATCCTTGTCCAAAAGCATACAAGGGAGAGTTCTTTATGATCACATTGGTTGTGTGCTTCTTCTCATGCGTTCCTTTAATATGTGTCATTTGCAAAGCAAAGCAAAACACACTGAATGTACGCTTTAGTTTAATTTTATTCAAGTATAAAACATATCTTTGTATAGTGTCATGCAGGTTGCAAATCTTGTAATATTATGAATATAATATTATAGTCTTTCCAATTTCCAATGACATTATCTATTAAGAAACATTTATCTGAAATTGTTTCACTCCAAGACGCAGTTTTCTTGCAAACTGGTGAACTCTACGTCCGAGAGATTCAGCCTCACTAAAAGGCTCTTTTTACACCCAGTCCTCAAACATGTAGCCAGTTAATCTAATTTACTGTAAAATGCTCTTCCAGATGTTTTTTTTTATTTTTTTATTTGCACCACTTTCTTTTACAACCGTTTGTTGCACCCGTCTCAATATTTCTTTTATATGTTGCCGCCATAAAATTTAAAATTAAATAAAAAGAACGTAATATTCCTTAGTTTAATCATTTGGTATGTTGAGATTTTAATTTTGTTTCTATTTACTTTTTAAAGTGTTCCAACTTTTTCAAGGAAGAAGCGAGTAAAAGAAAATTGATGGATGGATGGATGGAGTTTGCACAAGCTTTGTCATCTTTAGTCTCTCATTAGTTGCATGTAAAGGTTTATTTGCCCCTTTTGCCATAAATGTGTGCTATTTGCGTTAATTAAAAGCAAGAGGACACTGATTTGAATGCTCAATTTTGACTTTATTCCAGAAACAACTGCAAAGTGCATTTTAGATAATTTAGACATAGAAATGTAAAAAAAGTTAATTACAGTACAGCAGAAAAAGAGTAAGACGCATTACATATTTTAAAGCTCATGCGATAAGACATACTGTAGTAGCCATTGTTATACATGTAGAGCCTCTGATCAGTAGGACTGTAATGCAGGTTGACAAATCTCTCCTGAAATTTCTAGAGATGAACACTCATGTGTTTTTCATCTCCAGTCTCAGTGTCGTACGAGTGATAGATCTCTTCTGTTTTCAGGAGTCCAGGCATACATCACGACTCCACACACCATGAAAGCACTGAGGCTTGAACGCACGAGCTTTCCACTAAATTATTTCTCGTCTATTTTAGCAATCACTAGTTTACCTTTGGCTTCTTCTGTGGCATACATCACCCACAATCCTTTCTCATCTGCAGACCGTTTTGGTGAATACATTAATATAACGTTCACTTGCTTTTGTGATTTGTGACTAAAATGTAGTTTCCTGGTTTTATTCTGTAGCATCTACTTGTGTGCAGAAAGGTACTACCTTATTTTTGGATGGCATGATCAGATTCTGACACCATGTTCAGAAACACAAATGGCAAATATTTTTTTAGAACAAGTTACAATGTTTCCTTTTTTAAGTGAAATGAAGAATTTCCATGCCTCAAGCAGAAACCTCACATTTTCTTTTTTTATCAGAAAGTGTTTTGTTGGTCCAACAAAAGGAAAGAAGATGCACATTTTTCCCATTTTGTGTGTAATATTTCTAAGCCCATGTTTGCATGCTGATTGAACGATTTTGGATTTTTTTTTATTCTTATACAAACTTAAGCAAACAAAACATCAAGTTAGTGAGCCACTCTTCAAATCTATAAAAAGTATGTGTAAATAGTTTATATTAAGATAAATTATTAAAACATTTTCCATGATTGTTTTTGGAAAGTAGTTTCTTTTTTGTTTGCTCAAGTAAACATGGTTCTAAAAATTAGTATTTTACTAGAATGTAAATACAAGTCATATATTGTCTGTTATCTTGTTTTTTAAAATTGAAAATCATACGTAATATACATTACATGTTGAATCCGGATAAAATAAAACAGTTTTATGAGTTTTGATTATGGACAGGAACAAATCTTTTGGGATGCATAAAATCATTTATTGTGAAAAAATGAGTTAAAAGACATTTGTTGACTTCTTTGTGTTTTAAATGTCAGAAAAGGTTTTAAGTCACAAGGAACGTTGGTGGCTCCACAGTGGCTTTAGTTGTGTGACTAAACCAGAGGTGGTGCACCACAGCAGCCATCATTGTACATGTAAAGTTTCTGCTCAGTGGGATTGAAGTCCAGATTGGGATAATTTGCCAGAAACATCTCAAAGGGAACACTAATCTAGCTCTCTTGTTTGCTTTTGGTGTCAAATGTCTCTTCGGCCACTGTCCTGACTGCATAAAATGCACAACAAACCATGAAGGCTTTGCTGAGGCCCGGCTAATAAACACTAGTCTGCCACTCCTCCACCCCAAAGGAAGCCTCGTTTATTTTAATAATGACCATTCTACCGCTGGTCTCCTCTGTAGCGTAGCTCACCCACAGACCCACACCCTAAAAATAAGAATAGTTGAAACAAAGATAACCTTATGACTGATGTGAGATAAGCATTGAAGTATAAAGATGCAATTAAGTCATGCCATGCATATACCCCCACCTGCAGTCGAGATCATTTTGCTGCAGTCTGAGTCGCTACGATCAAGCTGGCTGGATCTTCACAACTTTTATAGCTACTGATGGATGCAGCACCTGCCCTTACTCCCCGTATTGTTTGACAAGGAACAAATCAAGATACGCAAAATTATCTCTAGCACTCAGAAATTAATTAAATGCAAGTAAAAAGTTGTTCCAAAAAGTTTCGTAAAGTTTGTGATCCCTGCAGCGGACCCATACCATATTGTTGTAAAGTACATGAAACACTGACTGACAACGAATCATCTTAACACCAAAGTTCATGCTCATTAATCCAGATAAAAATCCAACAATGTTCAGTCAAGTCATCTGGACGGTTTCTTTATTTTTGACGAGACATTTCCTCGTTCATCCAAAGGACTTCTTCAATCTGAGGAGCCACCAACAAACTGAGTCCCACAAGCAGCACACTCCCATAGTGGAAAAAAAAACAGAACAAGTCCTTTGGCTGAAGGATGAAGCGTCTCATTAAAATATAAATAAATAAATAAACTATAAAAAAAGAAACCATCCAGATGACCTGACTGAACATTGTTGGATTTTCTACCTGGATTACTGAGCATGAACTTTGGTGTTTTGAACCACTTTGGCATGACTGTCTCAGAGGAGTCGACGAGGGAGGTGGGGGGCCCTGGAGGTCATCTTATCACCAGCAAACTGGGTTTTTTTCCATTATGAGAGTATACTGTGCTTAGAAACCTAAGTACAATGTAACGGTCACATTTATTTTGATTTTTAAGCATACTGAGCATTTTGAAATTTCTCTGATGCTTATATTTTAATAAATGTACAACAAACTTTGTACAACAGTTGGTTTTTATATTAAAAATAGAATTTATAAAACAGTATCAAAGCAAAACATGTTCAAGTATTATTTATTATACAAAAAACAGGTTGAACCAACTCATTTTGTCTATAAAATGTTCTAAATGTGTTGACAATGACACATGCCCAATGATATCAGGTGCCATTGGGCACTTTTAAGTGGATATACTGAAATTCCCACGCTTTTCTAGTGGGTATCCTCCGTATACCCGCGTATCACATAGACTACACCACTGGCTCCTCAGATTGAAGAAGTCTTTTGGATAAAGGATGAAACGTCTCATCAAAAAAAAAAAAAAGAAAAGAAATCGTCCAGATGGCCTGACTGAACTTTGTTGAATCATCTTAACATTTTGTTAGAATAGAAACAAAATAAATGAGAAATTACATTTAACACTTTAGCAGAACAACAAACAGAAGCAATCAAACGTCCAGTAACTCACTTGAGAGAATGTCTAGGATATTTTGAAACTTTCTCTAAACGTTTCTTAGGTTTTCTTTTCTTTACTTTCTTGGTTTTAGCGTTGCTCTTTGGCTGTTCAGCGTGAAGAGCAGGCCTAGACCTGGTCAGGCTGTTAGCAGTAGGACTGAGTTCGCTGTGGTTCATGTCTGGATCAGAGAAAACACCCTGATCTGGTGCAGAGTGAAGGGAGTCAGCCAGCAGGTTGGGTTGGGAGTAGGACCGCATCGAGGAGCTAGTGGGGCGGTAAGGCGAGGTGCCCCCCGGCATGGGCAGATGGACGTGCTCGTTGCTCAGATTAGTAACAGAATAGCGACTGCGGTCTGACATAATGTGGTGCCAAGAGCTGAGAGGGGTGGCAGAAAATGGTTGAGGGCCACTTGACTCTTCTTTGGCCCCTCCAGGAGATATAATGATGGAGCTGCGAGGTGTGACTGCCTCCACAGCGCTCTGGAAGGTTTTGAGGATGCGATCACTTTTCTGCTTCTCTTTCCTCTGACGAGACTCTACTTTCTTGAGCTGCTGTCTGTGATCTCTCATCATTTGCTTCCTTGTATCTGCCAACCCCCTGATTTTTGAAAAGAAACATCGGACCACACTTTAGGTACTTTTGCAGAACCATAAGCACATGTCAGTGGATGAACGTCATTACTGAGGGCTGTACTAATTCTCAGTGGATGTGTAAAACACACATTGTCTTAAAACACTTGTAGAAATGTTATCTCCTTGTATGGACCAACAATAAACCTATTCAGAAGGTATGTGTGTATGATCATACGGAGAGGGAAATGTTCACCTGTAGTCCACTATTCCTGTCCCGTCATGATCAAGCCTCTGAATCAGCTCCTCAATCTGGTACCGACTCAAAGGAATGGTTGAGTGCTAAAAGTTTCATACACAAACACAACAGCAAAAAATATTTTTCAAAATGTCTTTTTTTACGTAGGAACTTAAAACAATTTTATCACAATCTGTCACAAAAAGTGATCCTTTCATATGAGTTTTCTGCGTTATCAGTTTGTTCAGATACCTGAACCGCCTTCCTGAAGTCGGTGACAGGAACTCGCATGGTGCCATCTTTGTCAATATTCCGAAAAAAATCCCACAGACGCAGTTTGCGGCTATCAAGATAATCCTTAAAAAAAAAACATTAGAAAGCATCATGGCAACACATTCATTAGATGGCAATTCATAGGAGAAATTACAAATCATTGCACTATACAAACCTGAATAACTTTCATTGGATCAACTCGTTTCGGTGGCTTCTTAGCCATGAAGCCCCCCACCCCTTCATACTGGACATCCAGACCAGGATGCTCCAGACATGCAATCTCCAAAAGATTCACAAAGTTCTCATTGACCAACACATTCTGTTCAAATAAAAACAACACTGAAATATTTAGCAAATACTACATTCTGTTACTGTGGTTGTGTTAACCAGGGCCGACTCAAGGCATAAGCAAACGAAGCGGCTGCTTAGGGCCCCGGGGCCACTAGGGGGCGCCATTAAGTGGAATCCTTTTTTTTTGTTGTAATAATTTCTATGATTCTATTACACTTAATGTCATTATAACGTTGTAATTTTGTTTCTTTACAATAATATTTTTTATTAACATTATTTTTTATAATATAGCACGTGTCAAACTCAAGGCCCGTGGGCCAAATCCGGCCCGTCATAACCATTTCTGTGGCTCTCTACATCCTAGGGCCATAGAAACATAACTTCAAGATAACGTGCATCAATATTACTTTATCGTTCATTCAAATCAGTTTTTATGTGTATAATGCCAAATGTCTCAAACATAAAAGATTTAATTTTTTGAAGTAGTCATCAAATGCAGAGAAAGTTATATTTTACTAGTTGTTTATAGGTAGTTTTATCAATAAATGCTGCCATGTCCTGCCTTTTGAGGACATTCATGAGCTTGATGTGGCCCAAAATGAAAATGAGTTTGACACCCCTTCATATACATATAGGTTCATGTGAACAGGGTTGTCAGAGTTGCAATGAGTTTTTGTTAGGGAAGTGAATGATCTGATCATCTGACTGTTGATCGCAGTAATCCACATTATTAGTAAAAATAGAGGCCCCCAAACCAAATTTCGCTTAGAGCCCCATGGAGGCTTGGGTGGGCACTGGTGTTAAGACTCACACATATGTTGATCTCCTCCAGGGCAGTTTTAGGCGTGTTCTTCAACATATTGACGAGGGCCAGCGCACCCTCTACTGTTAAAGAGTTATAAGCCAGCTAGAGGCACAGAGAAATAAAGTATTTTAATATATCTGCAACAGTTTTTATTGTTAGTCTCAATGTTTTTGTTTTCTACGCACCAGTAGGACTCGAAGCGTGTCATTATATTCGAGACCCCTGCACAGCATGCTGACACCCTCGTTGGTGATGCAGTTGTTGTTGAAGTTCAGATGCACCAGAGAGTTGTTGTATTTTAGGGCTTCACCCATGGCCAAGGCTCCTTCATTCCCAAAACCGTTCCACGATAAGTCCAGGTGTTTTACCATCGTGTTCACCTGAACACAGACAGCAGTGGGACGACTTGCTAAACCAGTAGACTGCTTTTGTTAGACCACCATACCTTCAGTCCAGCACTAAAAGCCACAGCACCTTTCATCCTTAGATGGTTCCAGCTGAGGTTGAGCACCTCTAGGCCTTCGTTGTTTGCTGTAGATTTAAAAAGGTTAAAAGAATAAATAATAGATACTAGAATATAATAAATGTAGAAACGACTGTAACAGCACTAATTATTGTATAGACCAAGGATTTTTAATGCATACCCATCAGCTGTCCCAAATACTCCCCTCCTTTTTCACAAAACTCATTATGGCTCAGGTCAAGTTCTTTGATCCTGGAATTGGCCTGAAGGCAAAATTTCAAAGAATGGGATGATCCATCGTCATCCACACTGACAGAACTCCGAAAATAAGAGCGCATGACATTTTACTATATGGACAACTTACTGACAATGAATCTGCAAAATGTTTTGCATCATCATCCGTGAATCCATTTCCTGTATGAATAAACAAACAGAAAAGCAAGATTTGTATAATTGTGTAAAACACTTCTCGTTCAACGCACATAAATACTAGTTATTTGGACATTACCGGAAAGTTTTATAGATTTTAGTGAAATGTTGTCAAGTAACATTTTAGCCACATGCTCAGCTCCTTCAGATTTTAAATGGTTGTTGGATAAATTCTGAAGAAGAAAAAAGGAATAAGTGAATGCGAACTCAAATATTAAGGGACTCTTGTGCTCTCTAGTGGTTAGACTGCAGCTCCTACATACCAGGTGCTGAATGGTAAAATTAGCCCTCAACAGCTCCAGCAGATATTTGACTCCTTCAGCTTGAATGTGATTATCTGCCAGTTCCAGAGTGTTGATGTGCATATCAGACTAACAACACAAATAAACAAACAATTATATTGTCAGACTATCTAATTCATCTATCAAGGGGACTTTATTGTCATTCACATCACATGTGGTACATGAGATGGAACAAAATTGTGTACTCAAGGCCCCAGTTACACCAAAAATAGCAAAAATATGAAGTATAAAAAAGAACAGTATGCAAGGATCTAATATATACACTCGACAATAATCATCTAATAAGGTATATTAAACAGCAGCCTGAGCATGAGTCTGTTGTGAGCAGATGGGTATGAATATAGCAGCTTATGGGTAAGCAACTTGAAACATGAACTTACCACTAAAGCTATTGCAAGTGCCTTGCAGCCTAAAGGTCCTAACCCGTGATGGGTGAGGACCATATTTGGAGAGCCGAGGTTTCGAATAAAGTAAGAGACTGGAACCACCCCCACCAGCTTGCAGGCCTGCGTGTACACCTCAGCTACAGTCATCTCCTTGTTGACCTTCATGTTGTCTGTGTAAAATGAGAAAACCTAAGCATACAACTCAATTTTGGAGCAAAGAAAACATTAAGTTACACTTGTTTTTTTTAAACATTTTAGCTGAGGATTAAATAATTTAGCTGTATATGCTGTAAATGTGTTACATCCTAACTGCAGGAGTGAAATGACTCGAGAATTCAATGGAGAATTGTTGACTTACCATCCGACTCCGAGTCTGTGTCTGAGTCTTGCGACTGAGTTGGTGACAGAGCGTAATCATCTTTCAAGCTAAGTTCCTCAAATGAGAGGATAGACATTTTAGCTTCCTGTAAAAAATTATACCCTCTTCATGGCATTAATTTACACCAAGTGAAAAAAAAATTGAAGATTTTGTTCTGCTATTCCATTCAACAAGGTATGTAAGACCTGGTACTGTGAAAAGGTGTAGGCTCGTGGTGTTCTGTAGGAAATTCTATCTCTCAGGTTATGCGTAATGAAGAGTGTTATTAAAAATGTATGCATCAGTGTGGTTACCATCCAAACAACTTGCTGTGTTTTCCACTGATTGCATTCTGTGGTTGTCAGTTTGTTCTGTGGCGTGTGCACCGAGTCTTTAGCAACTAAGAAAAATTCCTAGCATGTGCAAACGTGCCTGGAAATAAAAAGCTGATTCAAAAACTGTAAGGACAAAAAAAATGTGTAATAAATGAAACATCTGTTTAGCATTGTACTTTGCAAACTTCTGGAAACATCCCTCTTTTTTTGCATTTTATTTCCAATTAGCTGAAATTTCTTTGACTTTCAGAACTTGTCACACCTTTAGACTTTCTGAAAGTTTTTTTTTTTTTCCTTTATTTATTTATTTTTACTAAACTACTGAAGGATGTATATCTCGGGTGCTGTATTTGCTAGATTATTTTTTTTCTATTTCAAATACAACTTTCATCAACTGTTAATCTGCTGTACTTATATTTTATTGAAATTTTCTTAGAACAGTTACAGTGTAGAAGTACAATATACATATATTCTTAAACAATGGTTAATTTACTAGGGTTTTCATTATCCACTTGTGAAAGTGGTGAATTCCTTCTATAATAAGTCATTTGCTCCCATTTTACATTAAATTGCACCTCTTGCAGTCTTAAGAGTGAGTTTTTCCACACTTTTTAAAGGCTTTAGTTCTTAAGTTATTCCCCCAGACCCCTCACCACCACCCAAAATGTCCAAAAAATTGTTTAAAAAAGTAGCAGAAGTTCAAGTTCAAGTTATGTTTATGCAGGTTAACACAATGTTAATGAAAAGTTCAGGATGAGAAGAACCGATTTGACTCGCTGTAAACAACGAACAAACAAAGAAGATAAAATACTAAAGCATGCAATAAGGGTACAAAATAATGTACCAAAAAGTGAAAAAGTAAAAACAATACAGTATTTACAAGGTCCTAACGAGAAATTGTAAACAACAACATAGAATATAACGGTGCAAGTAGAATTAATTTGTATGAATAAGCATTTCAAGGTAGTAATATAAACTTATTAAACTAAAATGCACAGAAGCAAAACACGAAATGTTAAATGTCCTTGCAAGAAAGACTAGAGGGGCAGTGAAAAAGCTGTGACGTTTCACTTGGAGACGCCCAGCAGTGCGCATGCGCAGAGACTAGTAGCGAAGACATGATTGGCAGTTTGTTGTTGTTTAATGTGCTTTACCCATGCTTTACCCCCTGTCACATTACTTGTCCCGTCGACGCGCAGGTAAATGTAAGAACACATTTGCAGAGGTATCGGAGTATACTAGTAGCTGACAAACTTCAGTAACTCTCTGCTAGTTGCTACGAGCTAGTTAGTTTACTGCTGACGGAGCAACGAGTGACACGCTTTCGACTTTTGTTGGTAAATTTCAGGTTTTTGCGTTCAAAGCTCAGACCGACACGAGTCTTGGTTTAAAATGACGAGTTAAGGCTCGTGTTTTCGATTTTAACGAGCATAATAAATGTTTTGTTATTGCATTTTAGGGAAAAGCCGAAAGAAGAAGAAGATTGGTCTTCGTTAGCTTAGCTCGCTTTTGTTTTTACGTTTTTTACGTCCCCCGTGTGACGTCAAAACGCAACCACGTGCCCATGTTTTGCCATTTTTGTTTACATTTACTTTTATTTTTACTTTAAATTGCCAAATTTATCAAAATTTTATTTTTTTCTAACAAACTGAGTTAAGTAAGCATTAGCAAGGCGTGCATGCAGTATTGTTTTTGTTTTTTTTAACATTTATTTTGTGTTTTTGTTTTGTAGAAGAGTCAAAGACGAGTATTTCTCCTTTGGTTAATGGCAGGACTACGTGGGATTGTGGTGCTGTCACAAATACATACAATCAATCTGAAACAACCCTTCATGACCAGAGAGAGAAAACAATGGAGGATGCTAAAGAAAGTGTTGAAGAACTTGGCCTGAGGGACAACAACACAGATCTTGACATGGATAAGGAACCGTTAACAGCTGTCATACATCAGGACACAAAGATTGATACAGCTCCAAAGATGAATGAAATGCAATGTGCACTGAATGAAGAAGTAGAGACTCAGAAACAAGAAGATAAGGATATTGCTGTCTACTATAAAGACACAGAAGATGAAAGTGCTACTTCATCTGATGACGTTAGTCCACAGCAAGCACTTACTGCACAATTTATGCTCCTGCACACAGAGGACAGCATACAAGACGTTACCTGTCCTTTACAGAAACAGGTAAAAACTGAAACGTTGGAGGTGTCTGTACTTAAAGCTGAAGAGAACAAACATACTCACTTCCCAGTTGAACAACTCCAGTTGTCAAACTTAGACGAGTCGCAGTCTCCATTTAAAACTAGACATGAAGTAACTGAGTGCTGGCATGAGTATTTACTTCCCACTGGAGATTCGACCTCTGATGCTTCTTGTGAGCAACATGATGCACAAATTGGCTGGCATTTTCCTGCAGAGCCTGGTCTGACACAGGAAGTGCAGTGCCCTTTCTGGCAACTTCCTGCGGGAAGCTATTACCCACCATTGGGGCCGACAGTGCCTTTTGAAGGTAAATAAAATGAGCTTTTCCTGAACTAGAAGATGTATATAAAGTTTAATAGACAGTGCTATAATAATTTGTCTTTACTCATCCATACAGCATTTTAATAAGTACTCTCAGTACAAGTGTTTGTTGTTCTCCCAGTAGTGTGGAGAGTATGGGAGGAGTTGGATCAAAGAGCTGCTGCAGCTGAGTGTGCTCTGAGCCCCCTTCCATCCAAAAGTGCCTCAATGGACTTCACTGTTATGTCCTACAACATCCTTGCTCAAGACTTACTGGAGCTCAACGAGCATCTGTACATACACTGCCCCCCAGAGGTGCTGGACTGGAATTACCGCTGCAGCCTCCTTCTGAAGGAAATAGAAAATTGGACTCCAAATGTGAGTCAAATGCACTTTTTGTTTTATGTATGGAACTACATTATACTTATAATGTTACATTGTCAATAGTAATTTGTGTGTGTCCATGTGGATGTAGATATTGTGTCTTCAAGAGGTTCAGGAGAACCACTACTACGAACAACTGTATCCAGTTCTTTCTCAGTTGGGTAGGGCACCTGAGTCAAAAAATGAGAACCAGTAATTGTGGATGATGTTGTGACAAACACATCACAAAGTATCTGTTCATGTTGTTCAGGCTACACCTGCGTTTACAAGCGACGTACAGGAACCAAGACGGACGGCTGCGCTATTTGCTATCAAAGCTGCAGCTTTGCTGAAGTTGCAGTCTCAAAGCTGGAGTTCTTCAGGCCTGAGACGAAGCTGTTAGACCGGCACAATGTGGGCATTGTTTTGCTTCTTCAACCATTAGTCGTCCAAGGAGCAGAGGTTAAGAAGATGTGCCCACTGCTGTGTGTGGCCAACACACACCTGCTCTTCAACCCCAGAAGAGGGGACGTGAAGCTGGCACAGTTGGCAATCATGCTGGCAGAAATCGACTCCGTGATCAAGTCCTGTAGCGCTAAAGGTCAACACTGTAATGTTGTGTTTTGTGGAGACTTTAACTCTCGTCCACACATGCCTTTGTACCAGCTGATTACCACCGGTGAGGTGTACTACCAGGGTCTGCCGACGTGGATGGTAAGCAAACGAAAACTAGACGATCGCACTGTAATCTGTGCTTGGAAAAGTTGTTTCTTTCATTTAAATACACTGATGCCATTATTTCACCAGTGTTCATTTATTGTGTCCAACAGGTTTCAGGCCAAGAGGATTTGTCATACAAACCTAATTACCACAGACTGTATGCCCCCTTGTGGCCCAGCTCTCTAGGAATCACTGACAAATGCCATTATGTAACAAATGCTGAAAACGGCGTGTTTGAGAGCCAACCTCAAAAATCCGGTCAGTTACTGAAATTGTTGTAATATCCAAGTAGAGAATATGTATCTTTAATAGTCCTGTCGTTGTTCTTTGTATGTAGAACGTCAGTACAGCCACGAGTTCATGCTGCAGTTGCGCTTTTGTCCAGCTGCCTGCGTCCGTCCTAAAGACCTGATACTGATTCCAGGGGTGACTGATATCAAACCAGGTGGGACACGACTGAAAGCACAACGTTATCAAACCGTTTATTGCAATACAAACCCCTGCTCTTCTTGAATGTGACATATCTGGTTTTAACTCGCACTTGAAAACAGATGCTTCAAAGGATAACGAACAAGATGCTAAAAGGTTAGTTCACGTCGAAGTTCTTGTCTTTTACAATAGCACAATGAATATGAAAACTACTTAAATGAATTAGAATGATGGGCTTACTTGTTTATATGCTATCATTTGATGGTTTAAGATTAGACAGAATAAAATTCATGATGTTTATTTAAAAATGAACTCCATTGAGTGTAAATACAATTGTTATGCCTTTCCAGGTTCCGACGCGTGATCAGTCATCGGTTAAACTTGGAGTCAGTCTATAAACATGTATTTTCTGGCTCTGGCTGTCCAGAAGTCACAACCCTGCACGCTGAAGGAGGAGCTACCGTTGACTACATCTTCTACTCTCCAAAACACCTCTTTGACTCCGAGCACAAAGGTACAGGTGCAGAACCAGAAATAGCCGATTATTAGTTTTAAATCTCTAAAGGTCAGGAGAAACATTAATTAACATGATGTGTTTGTGTGCGCGTGCTTTTTAGCTTGTGGAAAGTTTGCAGGTGAAGGTCTGAAGCTTTCTGGTTTTCTCTCGCTCCTATCCGAGGATGCTTTGTGGTCCATGAACGGTCTTCCCAATCACATCTTCCCCTCAGACCATCTCGGCCTGCTCGCACAATTTCAGCTGGACCTGAACGCTGCCTGAAGCATTTTCCTGCTGGAAGTGTCCTAAACCTAATTTATGTTTGAGAACAATAATTTCACAGTGTGTTGAAAATTTTGAGACTTGTAGTTTTGCGGTGACAAAACGCCTCTTTTCTTTTTAATGTTAATTATTTTATTTTTTTTGTAAATGGCAAAAATTTCAACGGTTTGAAATAGTTTTGAATAATATATTACTTTTCTGCATCAGTTTATGCATTAGTTATCCAGTAATGCTAAATATTCCAGTTGGTGACCAGTCAAGCCTTGTCTGTCTGCTTGTGACTTAAATGTGCTCAACCCCCCCACCCCCACCCCCACCCCCACCCAACATTCAGTTTGACTGTGTTTAATGCATCAATAAATCATTTATTTAGTTGTGCTTTAATGCACAATGTTGCTCAGTAAATAGAGCCTTGAGTATTCTCTTGTAACTGTCTTTACTATTTTTCCCTATTCCTAAAACAAATTTTTACCAATATTTTGCAGTCATTGATGAGTTAAACTTCAAAAAGAAGATGATTTTAATTGCAGTACCTTCTCATTGCTCATGTTAAATTTACCATATTGTTTGGACTATAACGCGCACTTAAAATCCTTTTAACTTTCTCAAAAATCAACAGTGCGCCTTATAATCCGGTGCGCTTTATGTATTAATGCTGGTTGTGCTTACCGACCTCGAACTGATTATGTGGTACACGGTGCTCAAAAATCTGTCGATGTGTTAAGTTTTGCTTATTGCGCCTTACAATCCGGTGCACCTTAGTCCGAAAAATACGGTAAGAGTTTTTGGAATATGCATGTTATGACTACGATTTCATTAAAACTCTTTAAACACAAAAAAACATCTTTTTATTGTGATTCTGCAATTCAACTGCATTACAGCACGCTCAAATGAAAATTACATTGTGATTAGTTAAAAATGTTGACACATTCAGAACGGCATTAGGTGAGCTTTAAGTGTTACATGGTGATCACAAACACTAGGTAGTATAAAATGATGGAAATCGCAATTTAAAAAAAATACAAAATCCAGATAAAAGTGCAGTAAAACATTTTTTCAGTGGAAGTTAGGGACTTGGAAAAATCACTTAAGGCAAGTGAAATTTGCTACAAATCAAAGTTAGAGACTATAAAGCAAGTAAGCCACATAGATATGATAAATACTTATTTTACATTTATATTGAATGCAGGGATACTTGGTAGCTATGCCTTTTATAAATGGATATCTGCAAATTTTTACAAATTGATTGATAAATGCCTTAAATATAACTCATCTTCACATAGCATCCTTAACATGCTCATCTCTGGGGTTGGATCAATGTGTTAGAAATGAAACCTTAGAAAAAAAAAAAACATTGGGCTCAATAATAGTTTTTTTTTTCTTTTTTTTAAATATACAAGGCACAAGGGTTATAAACTAGTTTCTATACATGTAGCTGTTACCCAGTGGAGTCAAAGTGTATCAATAATAGACACTATATGTCTTTGCATACAAAGTATAATGATGGAGACTGCAGAAAAACCCCACAGCATCAAGATGTGATGTGTGTATTTGTATATTTACATTGATTTTTTCCCCAGCTTCAGAGAAAGGTCACATCATACAGGGTTAAAGTAGCAAAAATGCATTTTGTTTTAATCCTGCAAATGTACTCCTTTATAAACTGGGAGCAGTGCCAGCACCAATTACTGTATAGTCAGAAAAAAAGCCTTTAACAACATAGAAAATCTGAATAAAGTGTTTGTTTCAGGAAGAAAAGTAGCAAGTGACTCATCCAGTGAGCAAGTCAGTGTGTACACAATTTAATTTACACAGTGGTCCCATAAACAGGTGCGTGGTAAATCGCTCAAGCTGGACAAAACTTGCTTTCAGACACGGATCTGGTATCCATTAATATCTGCCGCCTTTTGTTCCAAAACCTTCTTCTCTCCAGAGGGGCTGCAACAAAATCACCAAAATAATAAAAAGACAGGTTTGTTCAGAACTGTAGTCCAAATAGATTTTAGCACTTAAAGAAGGTTCACATCATAGACGAGTGTTTTTCTCCCTATGAGAAATAAGCCAGTTTGTTATCAATCATACCGTCTCTCAACTCGGCTGATCCTCCGGATGGGGCTGTTTGGTCCTTTATGAGGAGAACCCACACTGTTTCTCCTATCCTTAGTGGGAGAAGGAGGTGCTGGTTTTCCTATCTGCAGAAACAATTTGAAAACAACAAGTTCATCAGAAATTCATCACTTTCAGTTCTTACCTGTGTGAATTAACCGTGCTTTTATCTGTCCTGTTCAGAGTGCCTGTGGCTTACCGTAATTTTCGCTGTACAAGTCACAGTTTTTTGTATAAATTAGCATGCCTGCGACTTGTACAGCGAAGCAACATATTTATGTTTTGTTCCCCATATTTATAACCCAATTTTTTGGCTAAGATCTGACAATTTCATTCATTCTGACATGGAAAATGTTAAACACTACCACTTTCAGCCACTAGAGGGCCCTCGACAGATATGGCAAGCCATCTGTCTCATTAATAAGTAAAAGTGGCTATTAATGAGACACTTGGCTTGCCATACATGGCCACCTTTGTCTCGCTACGGAACTCCTGGATCAAAACGTCAAATCAGCTGCATTTCGCCGCGCCGCCCAGGTGAAATGCAGCTGATTTGACCATCAAAGTGCATTTATTAAGAAAAAGTTAAACTGAGACACACCTTTGCTATTATTTTGAGCAAACAAATAATTGTTTTTAAAAGTTAATCTTTTTAAATTCTTGTTAAAGTCCTCCCTTGCACGCTCCCGCCAATTGATTTTTAGACACAGCACCCGCCCACATTTTCGGGTTGTCAGCGGTGACGCATAATAGATGCGACGTGTACGGCGGTGCGACGTGTACGGCGGCAAATACGGTAAATCTGTTCATGCCTGTGAAGTGATTGTGCAGAACATTCAGCGTAAAAGACCCATTATTGATGGATTGAGCCACCCGTGCACAATGCATTAATTTTTATTACACACAGTGCATTATCTTAGCATGAAGGGTGATGAGAGAGAAACACTTGAGAGAAACTGCCTCTCAGCCAGCAGATCAACTGAGAGTCACTGGACGAAGAAACATTAGGTCAAAGGAAATTTAATATGCAAAGGACAAATTACTTTTCCATCATTTCATTACAATATAAAAGGATCAACAGCTCAATTTAGTGGATGATGGAAAATAAGTAAAAAAAAAAAAAAAAAGCTTCAACCAAAAAGACTAGAGCATCTACAAGAGGAGCGATCATAAAGAAATATATTAATAAAAAGGCTGCAATAACATTAATGTACCTTCATGTCTCGGGTGTGTCTCTCCAGCTCTTTCCTGAGCTCCTCCTTGCTCAGCTTGTCCACATCCAGTATGGAGTGTTTCCACTCTATCTGCTCCACGCTGTGAGGATCGTGTGACACGTACTGGCCAATCTTGATCTTGCGCAGGGTGTGCCAGTAGCCCCTGTAGGCGCCTTCAAACTCCTGCACCAAGTCCAACAGTGTTCGAAACGCCAGTGGCTTGAACATGAGGTCTTCTCTTCGACTCATGCCCAGCGCACCAAAACGCCCCCCGCTGTGAACGCCAAGCACAATGTGGTAGAAGTGGTTCCCTGAGAAATGAGACTTAAAGCTGAGAGGGAAGCGCTCCACACCGGGCATGTTATTGGTGAGATAACTGGATCAAGAACGGTCAAGGAAATGAACATCTGCTCTTTAATTTCTACATGTGGAGTTTAGATGTTTCAGTCAAGTTTCCATTTAGCTCGATATCTGAGGTTTTCTATTTAGTCACCTTCAGAAATGACCTAGAGGTAACCAAGCACATGGTTCACACAGTCAGCAACTAAATCTAAATTTCAGTTGCCGTGCAACATGCTCTCTGTGGCTTTAAAGATACATTGCCAGGATCACCGCCTCCAAACATTTGATTGGCAGAGCCTCTCGTATCATCTCCTTAGCAATGTCCATTAACCTGGGAAGACAATGTGAACAAAAAATTATTTTTTCCCAACATAGTTCTGTATAAAACAAACACAGCAGGGAGCCAAACACACAAAACATCATTATCTATGAGCCAGTGAAATAGTATCTAAATCTAATAAAGTGAGGACAGACATCGGCTGACTGACATTAGCTTCCCCCAAAGCTCTGGTTAAAAAAAACAAAAAAAACAGAAACTGCTAATCCACACGCATCTGTCGACACTGGCTAAAACCTTAAGACATCAACAAACAGACGACGTGTGGCTGATGCCTTTAACCTCAGTGAGGTTTGAATTTAAAGTGAGATTTACTTACGCAGTAAGAGGACGGCTTTTCTTAATCTCAAAAAACTGGGTTCCCGTGTGATTGTACCTGTAAGATCCCGTTAAGATCAAACCAAAACATCCAATAAAAAATTAAAAATAATATAATGTGTTGGTGAATTATGAAATTCTTCTTGTAGAGAAAATCAAGATTGTACTCTTCACATTTCACCTATACTGGTTGATCCATATTATTTATAAGTGTTAGAAAACATTGGACTTATGTTAGTACATATATAACATTACATTTAATTGTAACAAAAATCAATGTGTATACGATCAATTGTCTATAAACCTGTCCCTTTAGGCAAACTTCCCTTATTTTACAGAAAAGTACTCAAACAAATACACTAAATATTCACAATCAAAAGGTATTAAAGGATACTGCAATTCCCAGATGAACTTTTGTATGGCTTCCAGGCGTTGGGGAATAGTAGTGGTAGGTTGGTATGTAGGCACACTTGGTACTGGAATCTGCTGGACAAACAACTTCATTACTAAGATACAATCACAGTATTCACGGCTCCACAATGTAGTCTCATTTAAACTCTGTTTTTTTCTCAGTTTCTTATAATAAACACTATCATGATTGCTCTTTTTGTAAGTAACATAAATCAAATGCACAATTCTGATGCATTATATGTTGTTGGACACCATGTTACTATTTAAAATGAATTCCCACAGCAATAACTATAACACATGTTCTGTTAGATTCACATCTGTACCTTGGGCAGGTCAGTGGCACCTCTTATCTCCTTGGCCAGTGCTTCACCATTCGGATGGATTCTAGCCACGTGTCGCCACATCCTCTCCCAAGTCTCCTCGTCTACTGGGAGGCCTCTTCTGTTCACATAGAAAGGCACCCCTCCATCCCTCAACTCTTCTTCACCTTCATCCTCCTGCTCCTCATCCTTCTCCTCCACTGAACCCACTGTGGCCTTCAGCATCCCTCCTTGAGCAACACAACACAGATCTAACACAGAAGTGCACTGAGTGATGCTGTGGATCCTTTAAATGGCTAATCAGCTTGCAGATAAAAAAACAGGTTCCAGCAGCAGATGGTCAAGGCATGACATCCAGGAGATTATGGCATCAGTGTCTCACAAAAGCAGCTCTTTGGTGAATGCAAATGAAGCAGTGATTTAAAGTAAAATAAGAAAAAAAATACTTGACTTTGCAGCAAGTGCTCCTCACTCAAGGCAGCTATTCATGCAAATAAGACATTAGATTGAGCTAAGCTATGACATGCCAAACCTAATTTATTGATGTGGTAAAGCGATAGGTTGACTCAGCTGTCAACAATTAGAACATCCAAACTCCCTGTACCATTAGAGGTCGTTCACGCCAAAAACATCCAATAAATCTGAGCTCCTTTGTGAGCCCATTTCCCTGACTCTCTCCTTCCGTCCAGTTCTGGCTCGTCTCACAAAATCCTTTCTTCCCGAGCCATCCGATTCATTGTTCCTGCAGATGCGCTTTTTGGCTTCTTCCGAGTCCAACGAGCCGCTAAGACACTCCCCGACCTCCAACTACTGCGCATGCGCAAGACTTTGAACGCGATATCAGCAGTAAGAAGTGTTGCATTCAGGTGCAGCTCGGAAGATCTTCGTCTGAGAGCCGCTACAAATTTTTATGTTAGGGGATTACATTTAAAAAAAGGTATATTGATTCTAGTAATGTTTAAATTTGTATTGTAAAAAAAATGAAATATGGTCATAAAAGGGAAAAAAAAAATCTGCAATTAAATCTTTTGTAATAAAAAAATGAAAACATTTCAGTTAATCCTTTTATTTATTCAGAGAAAATTGCAACAAAATATTTAATGAGAAAACAATGAGATTTGCAGAGCTGAAATATAATCAAATCCACCTGGATATCACACAAATTAAACTTATAAGCTCATGTTTTTATTTTTATTTGTCTTGTTTTTACTGTATACAGCAAAAAAAAAAAAAAAAAAGGAATCATAAAGTCTATTATTTACAGGGCCAGCAAAGGTGGACTAATATTAAAACCTTGGAGCACCATAATCGTCAGGCATCCGTTCAATGTTATACCTGTAATTAGAAATGGAGAACATTAGGTTAGAACATAACTTGTGTTTTTGACTTTTTTTTTAAGTGCACAAACAGAAACGAAGACATTTTTGAGACACTTTTCAGACCTGTGGTTTGAGATGTACATGATGGGCACTCCAGGTACCTTCCTGACCCTTCTCTTCAGATCTTTGTCCACAGTAGCCAGGATGTAACACTTGTGCTGCAGAAACAGTTCTTAAATAATTATTAGATCGTCATAAAAAAAACATTGGCTACATACAAATGAACAACAATCAGGACAATATTTATGTTAACTGATTCAAAATTTGTAGCATCTTTAGATGAGATTAACTGTAAGATGAACAAGCATGTTTTTTTAAAACTGCACAGCACTGTAACTTCAGCTTTAGTTGTTTGGATAAAATTTTTATTTTCCCAATATAAGATTTCCAATTACTGGACCAAACATTTATTCTGAGCTGCTCTTTGCTGGACAAACAATATATTTGCTTTTTAAAACACTGTTAAGAATTTCTGTTAAAATCAACAAAGTAATTTGAATCATTATTTTTGGAATATTTGTCCTGTGCCAAGCTCCTGTAAACTAAGGACGTCTTTCCAATATTTTACAATATTTAAGGGCATTTGAAGTTGCATGAACAATTATTCTGAGCAATTTTTGCACTAATCTTCTCCGTGTCATCACACTGTGGCCTTTGTATCGCAGTATTAGCACAAAACAGGATCAAACAAAGTAAATACCAACATTCATCAGGCACATTTGATGCTGTTCAGTAAAGATTAACAAAGTGTCATCTAAGGGGCAGGTGTGGCGCGGTGGTAGGGCAGCGACTTGGGGCTGGAAAATTGCAGGTTTGCTTCCCTGCCATGTCGATACATCGTGGTGTCCTTCAGCAAGACACCTAACTGCTCCCTCGGGCGCCTACAAAGTTGTCCGTGTGTGTATCTCACGTGTAATAGGTTAAATGTAGAGAGCAGAACACACAGTGATGACAATACACGTATCACATCAAACTTATAAAGGTTGATTTTATACAGCATCCTTCACACTGAGCGAGCTGCCAAAGCAACTCAGATTTCCAATTATAATCTTTGTGTTGAGCCCAGAGCACCCACTGGTCTGTTGCTGAGGGAAATGTGTAAGAGCATTCTATCAATTACATTATTTTAAAGCTTTTTTCAGACTCAGCCCTACTCAAGTCAACTCAGTGTGGCTCCAAAATATTCCCATTGGGTTGCTTTTGTTACGCCGGCCATTAAATGGTCAGAGAATATCAGAATCAAAACCAATCAATCATTAGAGCATCTCCTACACAAGAATCAAACCCACAATTTTTAAAAATGTGCAACTGCAGCATTTATTTTTATATATATATAAAAAAAAAACATTTATCTCTGTTAAAAATGGCGACACGTGAACCGACACAGAAGGCGCGAAGGAGCAGAGATCTCCATGCTTGTTGGCTGATGACAGAATTCAGATGGAGCTAGACCGAATGGACTTAATTTACAGGCTTTGACCGCTGGAGGGGATGTGGCCTTGACTCGGCCACAGCCGTTTCAGAAGCTGTAGCAGAGGATGGTAGGTGTTTTTTGACTTTACCTTACACTTATTTACCAGTTGGTGGCAAGTTTCAGGTGGCTGCATTATCATGACCCATCCACATTAAGGGTGTACTCAATTATATGGAAAACTACAGCAGCACCACAGCTATTTTTGTATATCCTGATTACTGCAGCCAATGATTTTAAATTGCTTATTAGCGTTACTGCGTCATTTTTTTTAAAACCTTTGTACTATAAATCACAGCTTTCACCATTAAATCGATAGGCTACTAACTGTATTCCAGTATAACAACTGTGTATTTTTGATATATTACCTGTGTTACTCTTTGGACTAAACAATCATCAGCATATGTTCCCTTGTGGGTGCATGGTAGGCGCTCAAACCGAGGATCTCTCGCAATCCTGGAAGAAAAGTAAAACAGAAAATAGGTGAATAAGAGGAAACGTGTTTTTGCTCTCAGACCTGATTTATGCCCAAAACTTGTACCTGAGTGCAACTCTATATTTTAATCCCAGCTTCTCAATCTCAGCCATCACACAATCTGTGATATAAGGGATACCTAGATCACATCACATGAGAAACTAGTTATTACACTTTTATTTTATTATTAACTAAGTGCAGCAAGTAACTAATGTGACATTTGAACTGTGGTAATACTTACATTTGGCATAGAGGCAGTCCATCATAGACTGAAAAATATCCAGTTTGGCCTTGATGGAAAAGTTGATGAAGTTGGTGTCAACAAGAACGTGGTATGGTGGGCCAAGCTGAGTGTTGTACTGGAAGAACATGCATGATGGGTACTTTGTGCTGCAATGAAAGTGGAAAATAGAAAAGTCATAAGATCACAACCATATTTTGAATACATTTTATTCTGCTGAAAGTCTAACTTACACTTCTCGTTCCTTAAGCTGAGAGGGGTCTTTCTTCTTCTTTTCTTTTGCTTTTGCACGATCTTTCTCTTTTCTTCAACCAGGCAGGAAGTTGTATTGGGAAAAGAATACAGTGTTTTTTTTACGCTAAGAGAATAAATAATCTAGTTTGGGCTTCTAAGAAAGAGAATTAAATCAATGACTGGCAAAAATAAACAAAATAAACAGCAATAATTAAAACTTACATTCTTTGATCTTTGAGACTAATCATTCTTTTCATTGCAGCAAACTGCTTGGTTTTATGCTTCCCCTGTTGAAAAAGGTTAAACCCCAATAAATCAACTGCAAGTTAAACACCACAATTAATAGCATGTTTATATATTTCTTCACGTATTTAAATATTTAATCTTCTTTTGAAAAAGCTGGTATACGTAACATGCTAAGCTAACTAACGTTAACTTAGTTTTATCTTCAAAACATACCAACTAACACAAAAAGGAGCTAACTTAAACTAATAAAAACTTTAAAAGGTAACGGTGATGCAGCTGTGATGCAGTTTATAGTTATTTACCATGCTAAGAATTTTACTCCTCAAATTTGATGTGTTCCTCGTGTCGACGTTATGACGTAATCAACAATCGACGCTTTTGCGCTCGTTTCCGGTGTTGTGCAGAAAAAAGTACATCGGTTGTGAGAAATATCCCCGTCGCAGCAAGTAAATTTTAAAGCGTTTCTTTTCATTAATAAATTGACAGTAAACGTCAAAATGGTAAGCTAAGTTCTGGGTTTTTGGACACAATTATTAAAAACGATTTTTTAATGATATATATACATGAGGGATTATTTTTTATCTGGCCACAGCAACGAATTTCACCTGACTATTACTATAAATAATATTGCTAGTAATTTTGTTCGTGGAAAATTTTAGTTAAAATGTGTTTTACGCGTAGTGGGTACGTTTGACGGAAGAGGAACGTTTTTCAGTACAACACCTATCCGGCTGCTATGCTGTAGCATGAGAGACGAAAGGTGTTGCGGCGTTCATTAGCACGGATTAGTGACTGTTTTACATTGGTACGATGAAGCTTTGTTTGTTTGATAGTTCAGATAATTCGTTTTGAACTTGGAGACATGTACGCCCTTAATACCATTATGAGCTGTTGTCGAGTTTTCAAAAAAGACTGGCATTTGCGGCTAAATTGACTAGCTGTGTTAGCATTTGTGTTGTCTAGTAGCAGTTGTGCAGATTCAAACATCTTGTGTGGCTAGTGAGAGGGATGCTGTTGCAATTAACTTGTTTATTTTTGGCTCTAGGGGGTCTTGTCATTTTTGTAAAGATCACCGAAGCAGTCATACGTTAGGGTATATTTCTATTTAGGACATTTGTTTGATTTTTTTTTTGGTTGTGGCAGCAGATAACATTTGTCAACGTTTTGAAACGTGAGCTAGCGAGTCCAGACAGCTCATCATTGCACTGTTGTCTGCTAGAATTACAGATTATTCCTTGGATTATTTTATCCATTTAATACTTGCTATTAAAAAAAGCATTTGAGACTTTTTTTGCTGTTTTTTTCTTAATGCAGCAGTATGATATAATCCTGTGTTTTCTTGTCATGTTAGATTTCATATTTCCCTTTTCTTGAGTTTCACTTTTGTCTTAGAGAAACAGGCAACAGATTAGCTGGTTGAATATTTCCAGTCTGACCAAGGGTAGTCAGTTGAAAACTTAAGCAGTCTGATGAGTACTTGACATAATTCAAACATGTTTTTCTTATATTGTAGGTTTTTTGACTACTCCAGTAGTGTGTGGCATTTCTCCTGAGAGCACGGAGGGACATGAGTGAAGGCTCAAAGATGGTCTGATGGACCGCCGCTTCTTCCTGACCCTCCTCTTCTGCTCAGTGTTGTGGATCTTCTTCTGGCAAATACGCTGGAAGAATAGAAAAGAAAGTGAGATTGAAGAATGGCTCCAAGGACAGAACCTCTCTCAGTACTGGCACTTATTTGAAGGTCAGTAAAAGTTGCTATATTATAGCAATTATATAATTATTCAGTGTTTGCAGCAATCCTAGTCGGTGTGTTTGAGTCATTGACTAGAAGGATGTCGGGTTTTCTTTAATGTGCTGTTCATGTGTCATCCAGATGTACAGACACTGGAAGAACTGAGTCTGAGCGTACTGAGTCGTCTGGAGGAGGTGGTGATTGAGCAGCAGCGCTGGAGGGAAATCGCAGAGGCCAATATCCAGCTTCTCCGAGACTTTGCCCTCCAGGAGTGGCTTTGTTCCCAGAAGTTGGAACACTATTACCAGACGTAAGCAAAGAAAGCTCTTTTGAGCATTACACCAATATGGCATGCATTTATAAACGTCCTGTTGTTTTGGGGATTAGCGCATCACTTTTTGTTTATGCATCTTCGCACAGAACGTGTTTATTTGTCCACTTGAGGGCAGTGTCTCTGAGTATGTGTGAGCTGCAGTGTTTCAAAGGGTCACTGCAGTAAAAAGTATTCTTTAGAGACTGAGTGAGTTGAAGACCATGTAGCAATGCAGCAGTTTGTGTGTTGGGTGCTTTCTACAGGCACCCAACACACAAACAAAACATACTTATATTTTAATGATTCATGAAAACAATGACCCCTGTTTGTCTTTTCTAAAGGTCAGTAATGTTTCAGAAACAATGTCAAGTTTTAATAAAATACTGTCTGACTTCTCTAAAGGCAAACAGTCACATTATATGACACCGCTGTCCTTTTACATCTTCACCGCTCACTTAATTTTAGTTTAGTTTTTGATATGGTGACAAACTGGTGGCAATTTTTTGACCCTTTTTTTTGTAATTATCTGTTGGCCAAAGGTTTCTGCTAAATAAGAAGTTAAAACTGAGAACTCGCATAAACCTTCCTTTGCTTTTCAGAGAAATGGGCTCATCGTGGGTGATTAGTTTTATGGTTACAACTTGCAACAAGAAAATAGTATATATATTTTTTTGAAGTTAATTTGTTTGCATAGCTCTAGTTCCAGTGCTGTTGTACCCTTGCTTGCAATCAGCCTAACATGCATGTTTTTGGTCTGTGGGAGGAAACCGGAGTACCCGGAGAAAACCCACGCATGCACGGAGAGAACATGCAAACTCCACCCAGAATTCCCCCACTCGGCTGGGATCCGATCTGGCGACCTTCTCGCTAAGAGGCGCCAGCTCTACCAACTGCGCCACCGTGCCACCCATATTGTGTGCATGACCTTAGTAAAAGTACACAGCATACTGCGTACATGTCCTTAGTAAAAGTACACGGGTACAGACCTGTTCTCTAACGAAGCGTTGAAGTTGTAAGAAGACTTTAACCTGCACCGTCAAGACCAACATCATTCTGAAGGAAGAGGGAGTTTAGAGACACTTTTCTGTAGTTTATGTTTTAGTTTACTTTTCCAGTTTTTTTCATTTGAGGCGTTGTCGGATATACTAAAAAAATTACAACACAGGAATTCCTTTTGCAGAGTACAAATTACCAGTAACTTACATTTATAATATTGTTTTAAATTTGGCAGACTGACAAACGACTAAAATGACTATTGTATTCAAAGGGATTATATTTACAGGATTTCAGCCCATGCAGTAATTTAATACTATTTATTTTTTTCATATTTGATCATTTATATAATTTAATCACAGTTTAAGTACCTCTCGGTATGATTCTAAATATATTAAAGTTTAGCTCATCTAAACATCCACAACACCTTGTTGTTAGTAAAACACCGTCTAGAATAGAATTTTTCAGATTTTTGTATCAGACAGCACCGCCCGCACTGCTCTGCTCTGATTGGGTCAAATTGTAGCTCTTGTTCTCTTTATTGGTTGCAAATAGCATCAGTTTACATTAATTCCTGCATCATCATTATATTGGAAGGCTTTAAAACACTTTTTTTTTTTCCCCCTTTCATTTTTACAGACATTTAAAATGATGGAAATCTGTCACGGCGACGGAGAACTTTAATCTGTGTCTATTTCATTTGGTTGTTCACCGGATAACCCCAAGGCAAGATCTGGTTATCCGAGATATGTCGTCTCGGATAAACGGAAACCGCTTATGTCGACCACTGCTTGTGCTGAAGTTCATATAAACTAGTATTCATGTGTGAAAGACGGCCTTCTGTTTGCAATTAGAGAAGTTGACTTGCTCAATAGATGAATCTGGCCATATCTGCAGTGGCAGTAGGGTTGTTCTGTAAAACCTAAAGAAGACAAGTATTTCAATTTTAATCTTCTCTACAGATTGAAGACCCTAGGTTGCATGAATCTGGATGATCTGTCTCAGTTCGACAGTCAGCTGCAGCTTTCCTTAGCTGCCTGGGGTTACTACTACGACGATTACATAAAGCTTTCGACTGGCATCAAGATCCTCCAGACTTCCAGGAGAAGTCGAGACCAGGACTACGAGATCCGGCTGGTACACAGCCTTGCAGAAAGGCGTCTGAATGAAAAGTGGTCACTTGGTGAGACTAACTATTGTCTGCAATTTAAAGCCTTCTAGTCTCTCCACAGCTGTGGATGAATAAGAGGCACTTAGCTTCAACCTGTAAACATGAAATGAAAGTGTTTTGCAAATGTTATCGCAAGAGTCACAGTTGAAGTGTTTTCATAGAGAAGTTTGTGTTGCTTCATCTGTATTCAGAACACAAACTTGGCTCTTTTTCATCCCCGTCCCTCAGCCTTCTCAATAACTTTGAGTAGGAGGCTAATGGCTCAGAGTCGGAGGCTGGAGTCATTTCCCGACATAAACGCATAGATGTTCTGTGCGGCGAAAATGCTGCTGAACGCAGCCTGTTTAAACCGATCACGGATGAAAATGCCTTACCAGCATCACAGGCATGAAAAGTGTTCTGAAATCATAATTAGTAGCAGCTGTCACTCAGTTTTGTAGAGGTGGGAGTACGAGACGCAGGTACAGTAAAACAAAAGTAACAATTCATTTGTTACAGAGCGACATGACTTTTAGATGAACGTTGTCTTCTCGTCAATAAATGGTGTGTGTACGTTTTAACACCAGCTGATGTTCTGCAGCAGCCTGAGCTGAGATGAAAACTAGTTCTGTAGGAAACTCCACCTTCCATTTCTCAGGGTAGTTTGTAAAGATGGCATTTTTTCAGCAGGCGTTTCACATTTGTCTACTTTTTTATTATTTTTGTTTTCTCTACTTAGCTCATGTTTATTTTGTTTATAATGTTCAATCTAAATATGTGTCCTCTTTCACCTACTTATAAATGATAAATGTAAGCCCAGTTGTTAGTTCTGTTACTTCATGCAGTCTAAAGCACATGTCAAACTCAAGGCCTGCAGACTAAATCTGCTCCTTGTAATCCCTACAAAAAATAATTAAATGTAGCTCAAATGAAATTAGAATAAAAATGAGATTATCAGTTAATAAAGTTATTAATCTAAGGAACCAGCAGATTTTCAATCAGAAAATCTGATAAATGCACGTCTATCTGTGGGTTGTGTTCTCGTGACTCAATAGTTATGTTTACATGGACCTAAGTACAGTAATTAGTAGGGGTGCCGGTTTCTTTAATTTTGGGAAATCGGCCGATACTTGCACGAGAAACCGATTTTACCAATTTTTGTTGTTGTTTTAACAACAGTTGTCTGAACTTAATTTATATTTCAGAGCACTAACTCATGGCCAGTTAAAACAAGTTTGTATTGTTCTAGGATGTTGTTCAAGGGTATGTTTTTCAATAAAATAAGATTAGAAAATTGAAGGTGCATTGTGATCTTATAATACCTGACAGTGTCGCTTATAAAACAAAATTGGTATTGGACAAAATCGAAATCGGCCGGTCAGACTTTTTAGAAATCGGTGATCAGCCAGAAAACTACAATCGGTGCACCCCTAATTAGATTAAATGGCCATTTGGAATAAAAATGTGTCATGTAAACGCCTAATTCGGATTATTCTGAGCTAATTCAGCGCGATCAGAATGAATTTGTAATCCAAATGAGAGGGGTGGTTTATGCCGATTCATAATCCAAACGGTGTGCATGTAAACACTTAATCTGATCATTTTATTCTGATTGTGGAAAACTGACCTGACTGCGCATGTGCGACCTATGTCAGCCTCACGTAATTCTGCCTGGCTAGATGCTAATATATGTGGGGGATCCCAAACTGGTCGGTGTGCGACACATTATTTCTACTAGAAACTTTAAAAGAGCTCAAAATGATCTGTATCTCCTGTAGCTCAGTCAGGGAGTGCAGTAACGTCTCCACCGTCATTAAAACCTGGCGCGGGTCCATTTTGGGTGCTCAGGTTTGTTTACATTCATCACGAAAGTAGAACTTCTGTTGTTTTTTTTAAGGAGAGTTTACCACTCTGCGCATGTCAATACTTCTATTCTGAATAAAAGCCCGCTGCAGGTAAATGATCAGATTGTGCCCATGTAAACGATACATTTGGATTATTTAATCGGAATACATTTCAATCCGATTAAATATTTTTTTGCATGTAAACATAGCTAGTGAGAGTATGGTAGGTACCTCATTGGTCAGTAGGGTGACTTCTGGTCACATGGCAACAGAGCGGGGATTATGGGTATTTAGTAACAAAATTGGAATCACGAGCGAGATGTATCTGTCATGAGTACCTCTCACAAAAGCCCACCTCCAAGAGAGTGTGTGTTGGTAATCTATAGGAGTTGCCAGGTCTGTCAAAGGAAAATGTTATTCAATGGCAGGAAGTTTGGCAGCCTGTCAAAATAAAAATATTAAAATAAAATGTAAGATAACTCTGTTCATTATACATTTCCTTCATATAATAAAATAAGAAGAAATGTGCTGGGTAAAATCACTATTCATATATATTCTACAAATGTCTTCAGTAAACTTGTTTAGTAAAAGTGGATCTATAGACGGAGTTGTTATTTCTGTGTGTGAAAAATATGACACGAGGAGTATTTTAATGTGTTGAGTATTTTAACATGTTGATATCAGCAGATGTCTCGTTATCAATTTTCTGGGTTTGGAGTTAATCTCATTAATCCCGTGTCTCTATGAATGAATCTGTCACACCACCCTGGCTACATGCAGAGGTATAGATGTTTGTGCTGTGGGTGTGTGCACGTGTACTCTGTGGGATGTAAGAGGACTTCACAACTCTGTTTTTATTAAGTAGTTGTAATTTATTTAATGATACAATTAGTTACATACATTTCTCAAGCATCTTTTGTTTTTTCTTGGTTAAGTCATTTACATTTGTGTTGTATTCAATAAGTAAATTGTCCTTTAAATATTTATAACATTTTATCTAGTATAGTTAATTAAGTTTATAGTTTATACTTGTTCTGTGGGTATCTCAGGGTAGTCCGTTTTGTTACTCCATGAGTTTATATGGAGCAGAGGACATTTTGTGATAAAAGTACTGTACGATGCAGTCGAAGTAAACTCGTGCTCGGTGTGTAAAGAAATCAGGGTAATCCTGATTTCAATTATAATCTCAGATAAAATTCATCTTAAAAGGCCAGCTGTCTCCCACCTTCATAATATACTGATTTTCTTGTTTTATTAATCTTAAGATTTTAGTAAATCGCCCTTCAAATGGTTGGAAAATACATAGTTTAAAGTAGATTTTAAAATAAAATCCCTACTTAAAACTTAAATGTTTCTAGTCATGAAAAATCCATATAATGTACAGTCGGTCTGTAAAACTTGTATGGCAATGAGATGAGGTATATACATTCAACGAAAGCGAAAACAGAAACATTTTTTAAATATTGTTTTCATCAGTCAGTGTAGCGGGACACTTGAGTAGGTGGTGAAATCCCCACCCTCCGCCTGTCATTGACAAGGCAGCTCCTTATAAAAACAAGAACTCCTCCAGAGAATGTGTGATGGCATACGAACAATCAAACGTTCTGCCTTCATATTAGCATTCCTAATGTTTATTTGCACCTCTGGTTGGTTAGCATTCCTGACTGAAGGAGTGGCGTTTAACGTGCAAGAGCACAAAGCTTGGCCATTCAACTCACAACTTTTCCAGTCGTGGACATTTCCAGTAAATCTGTTCTATAAATGCATCATATAATTGTATTTTTTACACATTTTTACAAAGGGAAAATGGTTAAATTTGATTTTTATTTCAGAGTAGACGGCATGCACTGTCTACATTTCACTTCTTTAATACATTTTTCTTATTTGTTTTAGCGGGAGCTCTGTTTTTTGGCTGTACTGTGGCGCTGTGCTTCTCGATAAGGGACCTCATGTTTTACGTGATTGGTGAGTCCAAGATCAACTGTTGGGTGGTTAATATTTTCTAGGGAGGAACTTATTCTCTTCTTTCTTATCGTCTAAATATTTACCACGAGGTGATTCAAATTAGGTTTGTGTAGCGTTAAGTTTTGGCAAAACATTTTTTTTTGCCCTAACATAGCAACATATTTCACAACCAAATTGACATATTTGTTAACGTTCTATATCTTTTTGCCCTCTCGTGTCAGGTGGAATTACTGTTTCCATCATAGCGTTTTTCTTCACCATCAAGTTCCTGTGTGAGCTTGCGGCAAGGATTGTTAGCTTCCTGCAGAATGAGGATCCAGGACGAAGAGGGGACCGCAGCATCTACGACTATGTCCGAGGCAACTACCTGGACCCACGTTCCTGCAAGGTGTCATGGGACTGGAAAGAACCGCAGGAAGTGGGGCAAACGATGACCTTTAGAGTTCAGGTGATGGTAGATTTCAAATGTGTTAAGTGTAAACTGTGGAGTTGACAAAAAACAGTGTTTTTGAGAATAATTGTTCAGGAAAAAATGTTTTCCAAAATTGCTGTGCGTATTCTCTAATTAAATATGCACGTTTTTACTTGTGTCTTAGCTTTTCTACAAGAATGGTCAACCTTTCCCAGCCCATCGGCCTGTGGGTTTGAGGGTCAACATCACCCACATTGAACTGGCCCTGGACATCCCTGTCACACAAGAGGTTCTGCAAGAACCGGAGTCCAACGTTGTCAAAGTTGCCTTTACAGTACGCAAAGCTGGACGCTATGAGGTTGCTGTCAAGCTGGGCGGCCTCAATGTGGCTTACAGTCCTTATTACAAGATATTTCAGCCAGGTGCAAGTGTGGCATATTTAAAAAAAAATAGATAATTCTTTTAAAATATTTAGTTTGAATAAAAATAATCTGCATTTCTTTTTCTCGTCAGGTACCGTTGTTCCATCCAAAACAAAGATAGCCTACCATTTTTCCACCCTGGTCCTAACAAATGGCCAGCAGCACACGCTGCAAATTGAACCCAGGGACGAGTACGGAAACCCCACCAGTAACTCCACTTCTCTCACAGATGAAGCCAACTACAGCGTGCATGTGCACTCTGTAAGCAGAACCAGCCATTTGTTTTTACTAACATCATTTAATGTTTTTCTTGGTTATGACTAAAAACAAACCCTCAGCATCTTTTTTTAAATTCCTTTGTTGATTCATTTGTGATTTTACAGTTGGTTGAAATTCATTTTTTTCTGATTTTCAGCTAGGCACTGTGGATGATGACAGTCTTGAGGGTTTCTACAGTAAGTCCGTTTCGCTCAACAAGCAGCAGTGCCAGGTTCTGCTGAGACTGACTCTGAGGAAGACGGGCTGCTTCAGGGCTCGCATCTCCTACAAGGATCAGCCGCTTAGCAACGGGGAATTCGACATAATTGTTCTCAGTGGTGAGCAACGTTCAGATGTTGAATGACATGTGGTACTTTAGAAGACAGTTAGCCTTTTCAAAGCTAATGTCACAATTGTTGTTGCACATTGCAGAGAATGAAAAAACTTGTGTGGAGAAGAACGTGTCCACTCCAGGCATAAGCATCTACTTCGAGGCATACCTTTACAGCAGCGGGAACTACAGCAGTTCATCGTGGCAGTTACCAGCGTCCTCTCTGTTGACTCCTCAGAGGAGGCCTTCCATGGGGGAGGAAGACGAGGAGCATGACTCTCCTGTGGAGGGGCAACCAGAGAAGGTGAAGAAACCAAAAAAGGTCTACTGTTACATATCGCCAAAGGTAAGTAGAGGCTGAGTGGTTAGAATGACTTTTTGTTTTTTTCTTCAACTTCAACTTTTCTTTGAGATTTTAAGCAGATAAACGGTATGTCTTTAAAGATTGTAGTAATTATTTGAATTTTGTCAAACAGCAACTATCTGTTAAGGAGTTCTACCTGAAAATTATTCCATGGCGCCTTTTTACATTTCGGGTTTGTCCGGGAACGAAGGTGTGTAACAGTTTTGGTGAAAGTGCCATTCATTACTTGGGTTTTCAGCTCATCATAACCTCTTTTTACAGTTTACCTACTATGGTCCAGACCCAGTTCATAGGTACTTAACTCTTGTGGTGGATGATGGGATACAACCTCCTGTGGAGCTCAGCTGCAAAGACAGAAACATCATGGCGGCCACCTTCATTCGCTTCCTGCACAAAAACATAGGTTTGTTTCCCTTTGATGAGGGTATTATTGAAGTCGTCCAGTTTACCTCACAGTATAATTGGATGCTCTTGGTTTTAGGTGGCTCTGAAACTTTTCAAGATAAAGTGAACTTCTTTCAACGTGAACTCAGGCACATTCACTCTAAGAAACCTCGTACCAAAACCTGCCTAAAAATCTCCCGGCATGCCATTCTGGATTCAGTGAGTACTGCTGCTTTGACACATTTAGCACTTTTTATGAGTTGTGTTTGCAAATAGACATCAAATTCTTATATTATTGTGAGCCCTGGGATAATGTTGACTCTTTTCAGTCATTAAAGGCCACCAGGAACTTCTCAGTGTCAGACTGGAGTAAGAACTTTGAGGTTGTGTTTCAGGATGAAGAAGGTAAAAAATATATAAATTACTCAAGTTTTGAGCTCTACAGAAGCCTTAAACTCATGCACCAAGCATTGTGCTTGTTTTTGGTATCCCTTTGCAGCTCTTGACTGGGGTGGACCTCGCAGGGAGTGGTTTGAGTTAATCTGTAAGACTCTATTTGACACGTCCAACCAGTTGTTCACTCGCTTCAGTGACAATAACCAGGGCCTTGTGAGTAATTTTTATGTTTTTTAGTCATTTTCACATTCGGTCCTCATGATCCAAATACATAAAAAAAAACTGAGGAAGCTTGCTTCATTTGCCCAGGTTCACCCAAATCCTGACCGACCGCCTCACTTGCGCTTGAAGATGTATGAGTTTGCAGGTCGCATCGTGGGAAAGTGTTTGTACGAGTCTGCTCTGGGTGGAGCCTACAAGCAGCTGGTCCGAGCTCGCTTTACCCGCTCCTTCTTAGCTCAGCTCATTGGTCTTAGGATGAACTACAAGGTATGGAAATCCTAAAATTAGCAAGGTTTTGTTATTGTTTATCGTCTTCCGTCATCGGTTCTGTCTCATTTTTTAAACATACTTCATAAAGCCTGGAAACGTAATCGGGTCCTCTGGATTATTTATGGAAATCCAGCCAACACGTATCGCTGTTTATCTAACTTAGAACAAATTCAAAAAGCCCACCCAATTATCTTTTATCCTTTCTCCCCAAGAAGATGAATACTGTGCTTATTGAAAAAAGTCATTTTTACTGTTTTTCGTTTTGTTTTCCACACAATAAGTACTTTGAGACGGATGACCAGGAGTTCTACAAAACTAAAGTCTGCTTCATCCTAAACAATGACGTGAGCGAGATGGACCTGGTCTTTGCTGAGGAGAAGTACAACAAGTCAGGACAGCTGGAGAAGGTGACGCAACAACTTGGAAAGAACCCACCTCTTTAATCTGTAAAGCTATTTCATCATGAATAGTGGTAATAAATCATGCAAAACGAACCATACTGCCTGTTTGGCAGCCATTTTGTTTTTCCCTAAAAGAGAACGACACCAGTAGGTTTGCGTGGTAGTAGCTGCTTTGTGCTTTCTTCCTCTTGAAACAAAGCGTAGCTGTTTGACATTAAATATGGTCCTGGATCAAACTCTATCCTGCCTCATGTTCTCCTGCAGGTGGTGGAGGTAACTGCAGGGGGAGCTCAGATTGCTGTTACCAATGACAATAAGGTGCATTATCTCAACCTACTGGCACAGTACAGACTGGCCAGCCAGGTGCGGGATGAGGTGGAACATTTCCTGAAAGGTAAGAAGACAAACACGGATGCAGGCTGCTGTTGTGTGCATGCCGTTAATATGACTTTTCTAATCAACTGCAGGATTGAACGAACTGGTTCCAGAAAACCTGCTGGCCATATTCGATGAGAACGAGTTGGAGGTACGTGCGTTGCTGGTTACAAAACAAATCCCAGAAATCTTTAAATGATCACTGGCTAATCATGTATGTTTTCTTTTTACTCCTCATTAGTTGCTGATGTGCGGCACTGGCGATATAAATGTGCAGGACTTCAAAGCCCATGCTGTGATTGTCGGAGGTTCCTGGCATTTCAGAGAGAAAGTAGGAAAATGTTCTTGTATCATCTTCTACAAGCGAAGAGCTATCTGTACATTGATTTTATCTTCTTCTCTTTTTTTTTTCTAACCACAGGTGATGAAGTGGTTCTGGGCAGTGGTGTCCAGTTTCACCCAGGAAGAGCTGGCACGTCTGCTGCAGTTTACCACTGGCTCCTCTCAGCTTCCGCCTGGAGGATTCAACACTCTTTGTCCCTCTTTTCAGATCATTGCCGCCCCCACACACAGCACTTTGCCCACTGCACACACGTGGTAAGCAGAGGCAGATACAAAGATCCAATTTTAGTACAGTAGTCCCTCGCTACTTTGCGGTTCATTTATCGTGGACTCGCTCTATCTCGGTTTTTCAAAATAAGATTGGACATGACTCGCAGTTTGGCTGATTGATGGATGAGCCGCACGATAAGGCGTGGAATTTTTATTTAAAATACAATATTTTAAATTATTTAGCACCTGCTGCACCTTTGTGCAGCCCACACTGCAGGATAAACTTCCTGCTGCAGCTGATCAGCTGTTCTCCGTGCAGAGCAGAGAAGTGGGCGTGGTCAAGAACGCTCGCAGTTGGCAAAGAGAAGCAGGGAGCTGAACTCACAGCATTATGTGCTCTTTTAGAGCGTTTAAAATAAAGGGTTCAAAACACCTTTATTTATATATACATATATATATATATATATAAACTACTATTTACTATTTGTACTATAATTCGTACTTTGCAGTTTTTCACTTATCGCGGGTCTTCAGGGTACTGATCCCCCGTGATAAACGAGGGACTACTGTATATAGATTGTTACTGAACCATCTCTGTGGTATTTGTTTAGTAAATGTTTCCTTTAAGAGCTCGTTGTCACGCGTCTGGTTGTAGTTGTAAGTTTAGGTTGAAACAAACAAAACAAAATAAATTAATTGTAATTTCTTCAGTGCTTGTTGTTTTGAGAAAAAGTAAAGAAGCAGCCTTCGTAAATAATCAAGTCACTACAGAGTTCTTACAGAGCTTTGAGAAATGCTTTCTATATAATGATATAAATTAGCTAACTATCACTCTGTGTCTAGTTTTAACCAGCTGTGCCTCCCTACGTACGACTCCTACGAGGAGCTGCACAAGATGCTAAAGCTGGCCATCAGCGAGGGCAGCGAGGGCTTCGGCATGCTTTGACTCCTCCATCACTGTGGTTCCACACGCACACGTGAAGACCAGCACTGCTCCACTGCCCTGGTTTCCTGCTCTCATCACCATGGAACGACCCCAACACCCTGGCTCTCACTGTATATTCTCCTTTTGGAGGAGAGAAGCGTTCAGGAAGTCCCAGAAGACTGGAATTTATTCATATGAACCCTAATGCTACTGTATATAAGTATAATCTCATTTTTGTTAAAGAACAACAACAAAAAAACAAAAAGGCAGCACCGGAGGTAGTTTTATTTCTGAACGCAAAGTTTCTTCAGCTTCATAAGTTCAAGAAACGAGTAAGGCTTGAACAGAGGCCTTAGAGTGGCATTAACACGGCTGCAAACAGAGGAATGATAAAAGTGCAACAGCCTCCGTGTGATGTGGGTGACACATGCATCTGCAGCACTTTGGCCTTAATCGATCAGGGACTGTGTGCATGTAAATATATGATCTCGTTCTTTTAACTCGACACATGTACAAACTGATGTGTATACATAAGTTTTCCTCTTTTTGTTGTGACGTTTAAAAAGGGATTGATTTAATTGCTGCACGTTTGCGAGGTTAAGTATTAATGTTTCTGAGTTCGAGAGGGTTTTAAAAGAGGCCAAGCAATTTCTGCCATCTGTTTCTAATTTATTGATCAATATTTTGTTTTATGGTTTAATATTTTTGTGTTTTATGACCTGCCTTATTCATGCCCTTTGCCTCCGATTGTAACTAAAGTTCTTAAGAGGGAACAGACAAGAATAATAGAAACTAATTCCTTTTGTATATGCTGTGGGTGAGCATTGGATTCTGGACGAACCCATATTAAACCAACATTTTGTCATATATTTTTGTATTTTTCATCTCAGCCTTATATGGGTTTACCTCAGGAGCTCCTTTCCCACCTATGCATCCTCTTGACACCCAGATGTTTTCATCCTTGTGTATGAGAACACACACACACCGTTTGCTCATGGATGCCTCCTTTTCATGACCGTTCAACCTTTAGCCACTTGTAAGCGGATGGAAAGTATTGCATTTTTGGAAAAATATAATTTTTTGTCTTTATTATCTATTGTAAGCTATTTATTTTTAATGTTTGAAGGGTTGTCTGCATCCTGAGCCAACAGATGTTTCCTTTTTTTTGTGCATAATTGTTGGAATTACTTTGCTGTTCAAGCGTTTACATGAGTTTTAGCCATTTTGTAATAACGTGCTGTCGAAGTATTTGTATAGCATTAATCCAGTAAAAGTGATTAACCTTGAAGTAAGAAAGAAACTGGTATTGGGTGATGTTTCTTCATTGCTGGATTATTTTTGTTTGTTCAAATTCACCACAAATTCTGCTTGTTAGCACAAGATTCAGCTTGTTGGGTGGCACATCACATTGGGTTTTGCAGGTCTTTTGCAGTGTTTATAGGTTTATAAAATTTTAACTTGTGTGGGTTGTTCATTGTTCACTTGATACAATAAGAACACTAAAATTGTTTCAGATTCTTATGATTAAAGTTCATCCGGGGAAATTTCAGTTCCTGAACCAGCAGTTGGGATCACTTTTCGATAGAAAGGCATTTTACACAGAACATGACCATTCGGTTCAAATTCTTCTTCTTATTATTATTATTGTTTTTCCCATTTTTTTTATTTTAAATGGATTTCTGGGTTATACAGCCTGAGAGGGATTTTTAACATTGTACATATTGTGAAATATTTGCTGAATGCTTTTTCCCCCTCTCCTTTTTTTAAACAGCAGGCCTCTGCTGATGAATGTTCGAAGGTTCTCTGGACTGCAGGTCCTGCATTTATTGGAATAAAAATAAGAAACGTTTACAGTTTTCAGTGTACCCTTTTTTGTGAAACTGGTTGATCCATATGCAAAGTTTGATTAGCATTTGTGGCATTGAAAACTTTACTTACAGACAGTATTTGCATGTAGCAATCAATGAATTACATTTGATTTTGGACACAAGGGGGCGCTGGTTCTGCATTTGACGTGCTCAATAAGTGTAAAGTACTTTTATTTTTCTGTCAGAGAATAATGAAAGTTTCTTCAGTTGACTTACTTAAAAAGAAAAAAAAAAATAAAAAAATATATATATATATATATATATATAGACTGGACGAGAATAACTACCTTATTTTTTTCAGGAAGCAACCTACCATATGCCTTCTAACTTATAAACTTAAACCATAAATTACATGCAAACTGGAGAATTCACATGAGCATCAGCTTTAATGACTTTTTCTAAGATAGCACGTGGTGTTCCTTGGAAAATTTAAATTATTAACCTTGTGAACTTTTTGGTCCTCCCACGTGCTCCTGGCACGTCTCACGTGTCGTCTGGACACCATCAGGAGCCACCAGAAATGCATCTTGAAGCACTTAAAGGCAGGAATCCTACCATTTAGCCCAGACATGCACCTGTTGATTTGCATACTTTATTTATTTTTATTTCCCACTGAAGAATGTGTGATAAAAATCAATCAATCACATGTGATGGATCATACTACAATTATACAGTGCAGCTTTGCATAGTAGGATTTCATTAGAAAAACATGACTAATTCTTTGTGCTGCTTTATAAACAACACCAGACATGGAAGTAACTTAGATTTTGGAGTCTTTTAGGCGATGTGCAACGCCTCATTTCCTATTTCTGAGTCATCCTCTGAGATGTCCATTGCCTCCGATCGAAGGTAATCGTCTGCAGACTGATCTTAGGGCGGACAACACAAATGTGCAGCCTCAGAACACAACCGCTCTCCCAGCTTCCTGTTAAACAGCCGTGGGGGTTGTCTGCTTCCTATTCCAAAAACTTGGGTCCTCATTACCTGATTGGGCACTGCTGATTAACTGCCAACTGGATTGGCTAAAGTTATTCATCATCAGTGATGACTGAGGCCAGTCCTAATCAGAGTCAGTGAAGGACAGGAGAGGTTAGCTCCAGTCGGAGGCCTGAATTTCAGCATACTTTTTACTGTGTGACTCTAACGTTCAAAGAGCTTTTGGATTTGGGTTCAAACATTAGGTCTGCATGTGCACAAAGTCCACTTCTTGGAGGAGCAGAGTAAAAGAGCTTTCTCTTCGCCCCCTTCATTACCGCTGACCACCAGAATGGCTGTTTGCTCCATCAGGGTTTTAACGTGGCTCCTTTTACGATTGCTGATAGTGTGGTTTTGCCATCTATGTTTATATAGAAAAAGCAGCTGTGTGAAGTGCACGTCGTAGTGATGACAATGGTCTGGCAGCGAAGAGCAGAATGTACAGATAAGTTACCACTGATTAAAGAGATTTTTGTTCTTCTTCTTGATCCTTCACAGATTTTCCGTCGCACTTCTTGGTTCTTTGTAATTTAAGCGCTGCGAACTGACGTTTGTCACCCAAATGAGGGATGCTACAAAGTCATTTGGAACAGCATATGTGGCTCAACGTACATAAAAAACAAAAGTTAAATGCGTTTCTTTATCTGGAACAGAGCTGCCGGCACATGTTTTGATTTGAAGATGATATAAAACTCTGCAGAACGTGTCCAGCTGAGGTCAGAGACAAGCAGAAGGTTTCAGCCACAAGCAGTCTTGAAAAACTGCTAGTGTGGTGATTAAGTATCCCCCAGCTGATGGCTGTCTATGTAATATATAAGATGCTGGAGAGGGGATATTGATTCATCGGGTTAGTTTTACTGCTGGGCTGTGCAGCTGCGTTGTTTTCAAGTGTGTTGGGAAACCTTATATTTTCACTGTAAAGACGGGGCCTCTAGTGTGGATTATCCAAGTGTTGCTCCACCCTATTGTCAATGCAGTGTCACTATAAAATGTATGAACTGTCTGTGAAGTGGGCTCCATCCTCATGTCTGAAGTACAGCAACAGAAATTAAAGAAATGTTTTGAGTCATGCACCAAATGATGTGGTCAAATCTGTCAGTCCCTCAGTTTGATCCAGACTGAAACGTCTCATCACCATGATGGATCGCCTTAAAAAAGCTTCATCCCATGGCTCCCTGTGTCCCAGAGATTATTATTTCTGACTTAAGCTGTTGCATATCTTCTCCACACTTTAATCTAAAAAGTTTTATTTTTCTAATAAGATGGGCTGAGATACGTTGGATTGATTATGCTTCTATTTGTTGCAGATGTTCCTGATGCCCAGAGTGACTACTACATGTCATCTTACAACACCAGATTTGTACTTTTCTTTGAAATATCTCATCTAAAGTTACATTTGCAATAAACAGAGTGGCATTAAAGTTTGCTCACTGAGACCACAGGCTGTAAATAAAGACCGAGACTTTCATGGTTCTCATAAAACCACCACAACACTCATGTTTGTGACTTCGATTAGTGGAATGATGGATTGATATTATGGGTGTTCCTTACACTGATAGACGTTATATTGTAAGCTGTAGTGGAGTGCTGCACAAGTGCAGGCTTTCCTGGAAAAAAGTGGTGCTTTAAGTTTTAGGCTCAAATAGAGTTGCATCTTTGCATAATTTTTTTTATGGGTGGCCATTGCCAAGCTTGTACTTGAAGAGGTACTGTCTTTTGCTGATAAAATTGTTTTATTGACCGTCATAAATCACCACATGTATGCTCTGTATGCTGTTTTTTGGTTTGAGACAAATTCATAAATTACAAGGTCAACAAATTGTATTATTCTGAGGAGAAATTTGTGTAATTTCAAACTTAATTAAATTAAATTAATTCAGTCTTTCATACTTTCATTTCAAAGTTAATTAGATACATGCAGATTTTTTTTTTTGCAGCCTTACAAATACATTAATAGCTACATGTGATCTGCACATGTGCAACCTATTTGTGTGCATTTTAGTAATGTTAAATTTAAATCCAGCAAAGCTGCCTGAAGCTGGTGAGCTAGTGAGGTGAAGAAGTAGATGATGGGAAAAGAGCTGTACAGCACACCTGCTGGAAACTGCTGAGTGAGAGGAAGTGTGTTCCTGTCTGCTGTGGTGATCTCTGCCAAGTCATTCTGAACGGAGACGCTCGGCCCAGTAGGGACCACCCTGGTAATAGAGGGGAACAGGGTGAGGCTCTGTTTGGACTGACAGAATGATTGACTGTATCCTATCAGCCGCCACTTCTCAAGCATGTAGAGCTCTCACTTTAGAAAATGGTGTGTTGCCATCTAAACACACACAAAAAAAGATGCATTCATCTTATTTTAGACAGAATAATGCATTTCTTGCTCTGAAGCCTTTTTGCATGTAAAAGCTAGATTCTGTTTGTACAAATTAGGACAATGTTCAGGAATTTTCCACATGGTTCCTGTTGCAAGACGTCCAGAAGAGGACATGATGTCATTCACGCTGGCTTGTTTCTGCTCCCCGCCACAGTGACATGTCAGACTGTGTCTTCCTGTTTGAGGGTGTCAGCACCAAGTGTTATGACGGTGATACCGCCTAAAGCACTTTTGGACAAATGTTAAAGACCAGAAACATGTAAGGACATGAGAAAGGTCAAGAACACGACAGAAACTGTTTGCTTTGGTCAGGATGTGAGCTCTGTGTAGTTTCATTTTTAATCCTCTACTGTACAGTACTGTGTTTTTGTTCTAACATGGGAAAAACTTGTGTTTTTTTGTTGTT